ACCATGACGAGGTCCTGAGGCCCATTATCGTGCCATTCATCTGCCGCCATCACCTCATGTTTCAGCATGATAATGCATGGCCCCATGTCACAAGGATCTGTACACAATTCCTGGAAGCTGAAAATGTCCCAGTTCTTCCATGGCCTGCATACTCACCAGACATGTCACCCATTGAGCAGGTTTGGGATGCTCTGGATCGACGTGTACGACAGCGTGTTCGAGTTCCCGCCAATATCCGGCAACTTCACATAGCCATTGAAGAGGAGTGGGGCAACATTCCACAGGTACAAATCAACAGCCTGATCAACTCTATGCCAAGAAGATGTGTCAAATGATGGTCACACCAGATACTGACTGGTTTTCTGATCCACGCCCCTACCTTCTTTTTAAAGGTATCTGTGACCAACAGATGCATATCTATATTCCCAGTCATGTGAAATCCATAGATTAGGGCCTAATTTATTTATTTCAGTTGACCGATTTACTTATATGAACTGTAACTCAATAAAGCCTTGCAATTGTTGCATGTTGCGTTTATATTTTTGTTCAGTGTAGATACGGTACATAGCTAACAGAGACAGACAGACACAGACAGTCACACACATAGATACACTCACCTATGAGTGCTTCAAAGCAGTTGGCCATCGCATGTCTCAGGTCCGACTCCCTACAGAGGTCTGGGCCGTGGGCATACAGCATGAAGCGATCCAGCTCCAGTTTCTGGCAAAGCACAAAACATACCAACACATACAGTCACAATCCATGCCATGCAGTACTAGGAAAGACAACAATACGCTGGCTTGGTGGGCCAGTTCGGCACATTTTCTACTAGCCCAGTATGAAAAGTACTAGCTTCAGGCTAGCTTAATATAACACAATCGCTGTTATACGATAACCGTTTCACCTGATGGTATTTTGTCTTTGATAACTACACACTGGCCACTTTGATGTTGACCTGATACAGCGACGGGCCAGGTGGTGATTTTTTGGGGTTGAAAAGGTTCTGTTCTGCATGGCATTCAACTACAGTAAAAGGTCTGTAGTCTGTAGGAGAGAGAGACCGATGTGGCCAGATGTGCCCTGCGCTGTGCCCTGATCTGTAAGCTCTCAATGTGACAAGAGGAGAGGAGTGAGTACCCAGCAGGAAGTGTGTGTGGTCCCTGGTCAAAAGTAGTGTACTATATAGGGAATAAGGTGCCACTTGGGACGTAACACAAACAGACAGGAGCATTTGGAAGAGAGGGGACAGTCACAGGACAGATAATCATGTCTAAAAACAGATCAATCATAGGGCTGACCTTCATTCTACTGGCGGGACAGGGATCGGGTAGGGAGGGACATGGTAGAGACAGGCCTGTCACTGGCTGCCAGCCTGGCACATCTCAAACACAATGTGTGCGCCCCAAATGGAACCCTATCCCCTATATAGTGCACTACTTTTAAACCAGAGCCTTGATCAAATCGAGTGCATTAAATCGGGAATAGGGTGTCATCTGGGAGTCATGTTTGTTTGTTTTCATCTCAAATATTATAAATCTTCTAAAATAAATTAACTGTGCATTTGTTTCTATATTAACAATCTGTCCAGTCTTATTTTCCAGTTGATATCAAGTATTGTTTGCAGTAATAGCAATGTAGCTACTTTACGAAATTGATTTATTTAAAATACATGACTATGAATTAACAACTTCAGAGCATTCATTAATTAGAAACATTAATGTGATAATTAATTTTGAATTTGGAAGGGATTTTTTTTAATTAAATGCTAGGCCTAACTAACTTACAGGGACCTTGCTGTTCGACTTTCAAGTTTTACAACTGAAGTGTCGGCTTACGCCTGTCGCTTTCTGAAATTTTTTTTCAAGAGATAATTACAAGTGTTCTTGTGCAGAGACGGAGTAGATGTGTGGCCGGCTTAAGAAGAACTGGTAAACAACTTGGCAACCGTTGCATTTTGTATCACACTCATTTTCCCGTGAGCGGCAAATTGAAACAAGCCAAAGTGAGGTTGTGTCCCAAATAGCACCCTATTACCCTAAGTAGTGCACCACATTTGACCAGGACCAATAGAGATCTGGTCAAAAGTAGTGCACTATATAGGGGTATTGGGTGCAACTTGGGATGCATATACCCAGAGTTAGCGCTAATACGAACCAGGCAGCTGCATCTTGGTATTCAGGGGGGAGCGACATGAAAGATTAAAGATTTAATTGCTTTTCTCCACATCATGGGATGATTAGTGTTCTTTCTCCAACAACAGGCAGGCGTGTTTGGCATGTTTTTGGCAATACGTTGTTGCCACAGGAGAGGGGCCGAGAGGTAGGTGTGTGTGTGTGTGTGTGTGTGTGTGTGCGCGTGCGTGCTTGGTAATAATCTGCTGCTATAGGAGAGTGGCCTCACGGAGAGGGGGAAGTTGGGAACGGTCCCTAGGGAACGGCAACACTAATACTAGACCTGAGGAACAACAACCTTTTAACTCTAATTACAGAAAGAAGCGAGAATTGAAAGAGAGAAAGAGACAAAAAGAGAGATGGAGAGCGGGGTGGCAGGGGGGAAGATGGAGACAAAATTACTCTTCTCCCCTGTGTACCTTTACCAGAAAGTTATAAAGGAGAGGCAGAAACAAAAAGAAACAGGTTTCTATCTATCTTTGTAGTGAACACTCTCTTATTGGTGCTCATATCCACACTCTGTGACCTTTAGAGTAGCATAGTCTTGTTTGAAATGGCACCCTATTCCGTACATCAGGGATCATCAACTAGATTCAGCTTGGTGCCGATTTTTTCCTTGAGCGGATGGTCAGGGGGCCGGAACATAATGGGCGCGTTCGACATTGCAGCCGACTTTAAAGTCGAATCTACAAATCATCTTGCATCATAAATAACTACTCAATATTATTTGTAGATCATTCAGTCGGTCACAATTTACGCAGGATACATCACGGTTTTGATGCACTCGAACACGGCCAATTACAAAGTATTTGAAGACAAAACATTGACAGCAACAAGATCAAACAGATATATTTGTCTAAAACATAATAATTTCAAACCTTGCTGATATTTGTATACGACCACATAGAGCTCTCTATTAGGCGTGGCAATATTTTGGAACAGATATCCATAACTAAAATCACTTGGAGCTGATTTGCTGGTATTTTTACAGTCTTACAGTGAGGGAAAAAGTATTTGATCCCCTGCTGATTTTGTAAGTTTGCCCACTGACAAAGACATGATGAGTCTATAATTTTAATGGTAGGTTTATTTGAACAGTGAGAGACAGAATAACAACACAAAAATCCAGAAAAACGCATGTCAAAAATGTTATAAATTGATTTGCATTTTAATGAGGGAAATAAGTATTTGTCCCCTCTGTAAACATGACTTAGTACTTGGTGGCAAAACCCTTGTTGGCAATCACAGAGGTCAGACGTTTCTTGTAGTTGGCCACCAGGTTTGCACACATTTCAGGAGGGAATTTGTTCCACTCCTCTTTGCAGATCTTCTCCAAGTCATTAAGGTTGAGGCTGACGTTTGGCAACTCGAACCTTCAGCTCCCTCCACAGATTTTCTATGGGATTAAGGTCTGGAGACTGGCTAGGCCACTCCAGGATCTTAATATGCTTCTTCTTGAGCCACTCCTTTGTTGCTTTGGCTGTGTGTTTTGGGTCATTGTCATGCTGGAATACACATCCACGACCCATTGTCAATGCCCTGGATGATGGAAGGAGGTTCTCACCCAAGATTTGACGGTACATGGCCCCGTCCATCGTCCCTTTGTTGCGGTGAAGTTGTCCTGTCCCCTTAACAGAAAAATACCCCCAAAGCATAATGTTTCCACCTCCATGTTTGACGGTGGGGATGGTCTTCTTGGGGTCATAGGCAGCATTCCTCCTCCTCCAAACATGGCAAGTTGAGTTGATGTCAAAGAGCTCGATTTTGGTCTCATCTGACCACAACACTTTCACCCAGTTCTCCTCTGAATCATTCAGATGTTCATTGGAAAACTTCAGACGGCCCTGTATATGTGCTTTCTTGAGCAGGGGGACCTTGCGGGCGCTGCAGGATTTCAGTCCTTCACGGCGTAGTGTGTTACCAATTGTGTTCTTGGTGACTATGGTCCCAGCTGCCTTGAGATCATTGACAAGATCCTCCCGTGTAGTTCTGGGCTGATTCCTCACCGTTCTCATGATCATTGCAACTCCACGAGGTGAGATCTTGCATGGAGCCCCAGGCCGAGGGAGATTGACAGGTCTTTTGTGTTTCTTCCATTTGCAAATAATTGCACCAACTGTTGTCACCTTCTCACCAAGCTGCTTGGCGATGGTCTTGTAGCCCATTCCAGCCTTGTGTAGGTCTACAATCTTGCCCCTGACATCCTTGGAGAGCTCTTTGGTCTAGGCCATGGTGGAGAGTTTGGAATCTGATTGATTGATTGCTTCTGTGGACAGGTGTCTTTTATACAGGTAACAAACTGAGATTAGGAGCACTCAAAGGGAGTGCTCCTAATCTCAGTTTGTTACCTGTATAAAAGACACCTGGGAGCCAGATATCTTTCTGATTGAGAGGGGGTCAAATACTTATTTCCCTCCTTAAAATGCTAATCAATTCATAACATTTTTGACATGCGTTTTTCTGGATTTTTTTGTTGTTATTCTGTCTCTCACTGTTCAAATAAACCTACCATTAAAATTATTGACTGATCATTTCTTTGATTACTTTTTTCCCCTCACTGTATGTCCAACAATAAAACAATTCAAAACCCTTTTTTTTTTTTTTGAGGGGGGTCTCAGAAAACTTGGGAGGCCAAATAAAATTAACCGTGGGCTTCCAGTTGGGGAATCTTGCCCTACATAGTGAACTACATGACCAGATCCCCATTGGCCCTGTTCAAAAGTATTGCACTATGAGTCGGTTTCCCAGACACAGACTAAGTCTAGTCCTGGATTAGTGTTAAATCGGTGTCCTGGAAACTGTCCATAAAAAGGGTACAAGTCTCACCTTGGCGAGCATGGCCAGGTGTTGGTTCTGTACGATGGCTGTTCTGTAGGTTGCCAGCCCTCCTTCCTCCAGACTGGGGAACAGGTAGTACAGATGGACACTGTGGAGACAGGAAACACATACAAACAGAGCCGTAAGATCCAAGACGGCTGACGATGGGTCACAATCTCACAGGTAACCAGCTGTGTGCAGGCAACCAAAAACATGTTATATCCAAAATGGCTGACCATGGGGCACAGTTAGGGCTGGGCGGTATATTTAATTAACGCAATGTTTCAAATGCCTGTATCGCAGAATCAAGGTTATCATTTTTTGGGGGGAGAACAGAATCGGTCATATGGACACCGAAACACTTAGACATTATTTTACTGTAATAGGTGAGAAAATAACCTTTCTAATGATACCATTTTTATGTTTCAACTCCCAAAATGTAGAACAGAGAAGACCCTACTAAAACGAGAGTATCAATGAACATGATTGTGGAAAATTCATGCTCAGTTTGTCGCGCGCTGCACTGCGGGACCACAAACCCCTAGCAGTATTTTAGTCACAGATTTATGTGCTAGCTGTCTAGTTTGTGTTTTATAAATGTACAATGAGCATAAAGAGACACATTTATATAAATAATTAGCAAGTCGTTCTCATTCTGAGAAATAAGCATTTTCTTATCAGGTAGGCCAATTGATTTCAATATCTGAACAAACTGAAAAGGTTGTTGTTAAAAATAGCTGGAGATGGAATGGAGGGTGTATTCATAACAGTTAAAGTGTTCTAAATTGTTAACAAGCAAATAGATCCAAGTTGGCTAGACTTCAAATCGAATGTTTAACTGGCTACTCACTAGAACTTGGGCTTGTGCTCAAAAGACTGGTATTCAGTTTCTATAAAGTCTGCTATAAGAAGTTGGTCATTATTAGTGGGTGTGCATTGTGAATGGTTCTGCTAAAATTTCTAACAAAAAGGGCATTTTCATAGACCGATTTGAAAGCCAGATCAGTGATTATTGGAAAAAAAGGTGAATAAACTAGTTCGATAAAATAATACAATTATTAGTGGGTACGGTTGTAGAAGGCTTATATTTAGCTTTGCTATAATTTCACAGGCCCTGAATTTATTATATTATTCCTGACTGTTTGAAATGCAGTGTATTGATCTTTAATTGTGCAACAAAGATATCTAGAGAAAATATTGCATTGTTGTAAGTAAGCATTTCACTGTTAGTCTACACCTGTTGTTTACGAAGCATGTGACAAATATTTGATTTGATTATACTTTAAATATCTTGTTTTCTAGACATGAACATTTGTATTAATAAATCAGCATCTAAGTCAACAATGAAAGTCTACCAACATGCTGAGAGATTGTTTTATTTCGTGCTTCAGTGTATTTATATACAACCGTTTTTCTAGAATGCATTGTCCATTGCTTTGTTATGAGTGTTATGAGATATTTTTGTCAGATGTTACTATGGTATACTGAAGTATAATTACAAGCATTCCATTAGTGTCAAAGGCTTTTATTGACAATTACATTGAGTTTATACAAAGAGTCAATATTTGCAGTGTTGACCCTTCTTTTTCAAGACCTCTGCAATCCGCCCTGGCATGATGTCAATTAACTTTTGGGCCACATCCTGACTGATGGCAGCCCATTCTTGCATAATCAATTCTTGGAGTTTGTGGGTTTTTGTTTGTCCACCCGCCTCTTGAGGACCGACCACAAGTTCTCAATGGGATTAAGGTCTGGGGAGTTTCCTGGCCATGGACCCAACATTTCGATGTTTTGTTCCCCGAGCGACTTAGTTATCACTTTTGCCTTATGGCAAGGTGCTCCATCATGCTTGAAAAGGCATTGGTCGTCACCAAACTGTTCTTGGATGGTTGGGAGAAGTTGCTCTCGGAGGATGTGTTGGTACCATTCTTTATTATTATATTTATTATTATTCATGGCAGTGTTCTTAGGCAAAATTGTGAATGAGCCCACTCCCTTGGCTGAGAAGCAACCCCCCACATGAATTGTCTCAGGACGCTTTTCTGTTGGCATAACACAGGACGGATGGTAGCGCTCACCTTGTCTGATGGTAGCACTCACCTTGCCCCAAACAATCGGAAAGGGGATTCATCAGAGAAAATGACTTAACCCCAGTCCTCAGCAGTCCAATCCCTGTACCTTTTGCAGAATATCAGTCTGTCCCTGATGTTTTTCCTGGAGAGAAGTGGCTTCTTTGCTGCCCTTCTTGACACCAGGCCATCCTCCAAAAGTCTTTGCCTCACACCTGCCTGCTGCCATTCCTGAGCAAGCTCTGCACTGGTGGTGCCCCGATCCCGCAGCTGAATCAACTTTAGGAGACGGTCCTGGCGCTTGCTGGACTTTCTGGGGCGCCCTGACGCCTTCTTCACAACAATTGAACCTCTCTCCTTGAAGTTCTTGATGATCCGATAAATGGTTGATTTAGGTGCAATCTTACTAGCAGCAATATCCTTGCCTGTGAAGCCCTTTTTGTGCAAAGCAATGATGACGGCACGTGTTTTCTTGCAGGTAACCATGATTAACAGAAGAAGAACAATAATTTCAAGCACAACCCTCCTTTTAAAGCTTCCAGTCTGTTATTCTAACTCAAATCAGCATGACAGAGTGATTTCCAGCCTTGTCCTCGTCAACACTCTCACCTGTGTTAACGAGAGAATCACTGACATGATGGCAGCTGGTCCTTTTGTGGCAGGGCTGAAATGCAGTGGAAATGTTTTTTGGGGATTAAGTTCATTTTTATGGCAAAGATGGACTTCGCAATTCATCTGATCACTCTTCATGACATTCTGGAGTATATGCAAATTGCCATCATCAAAACTGAGGCAGCAGACTTTGTGAAAGTTAGTATTTGTGTCATTCTCAAAAATGTTGACCATGACTGTACAGTATGTGGCTGTTCGTGATGAGACCGGACAATAAAAAGAGTAAACATAAAAAAAATTAAAATACTAAAAATAAAAACCCTTGAATGACTAGATGTGTCCAAACATATACATATACTACAGTTCAAAAGTTTGGGGTCACTTAGAAATGTCCTTGTTTTCGAAAGAAAAGCAATTTTTTGTCCATTAAAATAATATCAAATTGATCAGAAATACAGTGTAGACATTGTTAATGTTGTAAATGGCTATAGTAGCTGGAAACGGCAGATATTTTATGGAATATCTACATAGGCGTACAGAGGCCCATTATCAGCAACCATCAGTCCTGTGTTCCAATGGCACGTTGTGTTCGCTAATCCAAGTTGATCATTTTAAAATGCTAATTGATCATTAGAAAACCCATTTGCAATTATGTTAGCACAGCTGAAAACTGTTGTGCTGATTAAAGAAGCTATAAAACTGGCTCTTCTGCTGGAGCGTCAGCAATTGTGGGTTCGACTAAAGGCTCAAAATGGCAAGAAACAAAGAACTTTCTTCTAAATCTCGTAAGTCTATTCTTGTTCTGAGAAATGAAGGCTATTCCATGCGAGAAATTGCCAAGAAACTGAAGATCTCGTACAACGCTGTGTACTACACCCTTCACAGAACAGCGCAAACTTGTTCTAACCAGTATAGAAAGAGGAGTGGGAGGCCCCAGTGCACAACTGAGCAAGAGGACAAATACATTAGTGTCTAGTTTGAGAAACAGACGCCTCACAGGTCCTCAACTAGCAGCTTCATTAAATAGTACCCGCAAAAAACAAGTCTCAACGTCAACAGTTAAGAGGTGACTCCGGGATGCTGACCTTCTAGGTGGAGTTGCAAAGAAAAAGCAATATCTCAGACAGGCCAATAAAAAGAGAATATTAAAATGGGCAGTCTGAGATATGGCTTTTTCTTTCAACTATGCCTAGACGGTCAAAAAAAGTGTTAAACAAATCAAAATATATTTTATATTTGAGATTCTTCAAATTGCAACCCTTTGCCTTGATGACAGCTTTGCACACTCCTGGCTTTCTCTCAACCAGCTTCACCTGGAATGCTTTTCCAACAGTCTTGAAGGAGTTCCCACATATGCTGAGCACTTGTTGGCTGGTTTTCCTTCACTCTGCGGTCCAACTCATCCCAAACCATCTAAATTGGTCAGAGGTCGGGTGATTGTGGAGGCCAGGTCCTCTGATGCAGCACTCCATCACACTCCTTCTTGGTAAAATAGCCCTGACACAGGCTGGAGGTGTGTGTTGGCTCATTGTCTTGATGAAAAACAAATGATAGTCCCATGATACTCACACTACTGTGAACCATCAGATCCTCCTCTCCACCCTCTCCGAGTTGGGCATCTCCGGCGCTGCTCACTCTTGGATTGCGTCCTACCTGACAGGTCGCTCCTACCAGGTGGCGTGGCGAGAATCTGTCTCCGCACCACGTGCTCTCACCACTGGTGTCCCACAGGGCTCAGTTCTAGGCCCTCTCCTATTCTCTCTATACACCAAGTCACTTGGCTTTGTCATATACTAACATGGTCTCTCCTATCATTTCTACGCAGACGACACACAATTCATTTTCTCCTTTCCCCCTTCTGATAACCATGTGGCGAATCGCATCTCTGCATGTCTGGCAGACATATCAGTGTGGATGACGGATCACCACCTCAAGCTGAACCTCGGCAAGACGGAGCTGCTCTTCCTCCCGGGGAAGGACGGCCCGCTCCATGATCTCGCCATCACGGTTGACAACTCCATTGTGTCCTCCTCCCAGAGCGCAAAGAACCTTGGCGTGACCCTGGACAACACCCTGTCGTTCTCCGCTAACATCAAAGCGGTGACCCGATCCTGCAGGTTCATGCTCTACAACATCCGCAGAGTACGACTCTACCTTACACAGAAAGTGGCACAGGTCCTAATCCAGGCACTTGTCATCTCCCGTCTGGATTACTGCAACTCGCTGTTGGCTGGGCTCCCTGCCAGTGCCATTAAACCCCTACAACTTATCCAGAACGCTGCAGCCCGTCTGGTGTACAACCTTCCCAAGTTCTCTCATGTCACCCCGCTCCTCCGCACACTCCACTGGCTTCCAGTTGAAGCTTGCATCTACTACAAAACCATGGTGCTTGCCTACGGAGCTGTGAGGGGAACGGCACCTCCTTACCTTCAGGCTCTGATCAGACCCTACACCCAAACGAGGGCACTACGTTCATCCACCTCTAGCCTGCTAGCCCCCCTACCTCTGCGGAAGCACAGTTCCCGCTCAACCCAGTCAAAACTATTCGCTGCTCTGGCATCCCAATGGTGGAACAAGCTCCCCCACGATGCCAGGACAGCGGAGTCACTGACCAACTTCCAGAGACACTTGAAACCCTACCTCTTTAAGGAATACCTGGAATAGTATAAAAGTAAATCATTCTAACCCCCCCTCCCCCACCGTTTAATAAAAAAAAAATATATATATATATATAAATAATAGGGTCGTTGTCCCACTGGCTATCATAAGTTGAATGCACCAATTTGTAAGTCGCTCTGGATAAGAGTGTCTGCTAAATGACGTAAATGTAAATGTAAACTAAGCCCAAAGCAGATGGGATGGCGTATCGCTGCAGAACGCTGTGGTAGCCATGCTGGTTAAGTCTGCCTTGAACTCTAAATAAATAAGACAATGTCACCAGCAAAGCACCCCCACACCACCTCCTCCATGCTTCATGGTGGGAACTACACAAGCGGAGATCATCCGTTCACCTACACTGCATCTCACAAAGACACGGCGGTTGGAACCAAAAATCTCAAATTTTGACTCCAGACCAAAGGCCAGATTTCCACCGGTCTAATGTCCATTGCTCACATTTTTTGGCCCAAGCAAGTCTCTTCTCCTTATTGGTGCCCTTTAGTAGTGGTTTCTTTGCAGCAATTCGACCGTGGTCCTCTGTAGCTCAGCTGGTAGAGCACGGCGCTTGTAACACCAAGGTAGTGGGTTCGATCCCCGGGACCACCCATACACAAAAAATGTATGCACGCATGACTGTAAGTCGCTTTGGATAAAAGCGTCTGCTAAATGGCATATTATTATGAAGGCCTGATTCACGCAGTCTCCTCTGAACAGTTGATGTTGAGATGTGTCTGTTGCTTGAACTCTGAAGCATTTATCTGGGCTGCAATTTCTGAGGCTGGTAACTCTAATGAACTTATCCTCTGCAGCAGAGGTAACTCTGGGTCTTCCTTTCCTGTGGTGGTCCTCATGAGAGCCAGTTTCATCATAGCGCTTGATGGTTTTTGCGACTGCAAAAGGACATGACTGACCTTCATGTCTTAAAGTAATGATGGACTGTCGTTTCTCTTTGCTTATTTGAGCTGTTCTTATCATAATATGGACTTGGTCTTTTACCAATTAGGGCTATCTTCTATATACCACCCCTACCTTGTCACAACACAACTGATTGGCTCAAATACATTGAGGAAAGAAATTCCACAAATGAACAAGGCACACCTGTTAATTGAAATGCCTCCAGGTGACTACCTCATGAAGCTGGTTGAGAGAATACCAAGAGCGTGCAAAGCTGTCATCAAGGCAAAGGGTGGCTACTTTGAAGAAACTCAAAAAAAAAAAAAAAATATATATATATATATATATATATAGCTCAAAAAAATAAAGGGAACACTAAAATAACACATCCTAGATCTAAATGAATGAAATAATCTTATTAAATACTTTTTTCTTTCCATAGTTGAATGTGCTGACAACAAAATCACACAAAAATTATCAATGGAAATCAAATTTATCAACCCATGGAGGTCTGGATTTGGAGTCACCCTCAAAATTAAGGTGGAAAACCACACTACAGGCTGATCCAACTTTGATGTAATGTCCTTAAAACAAGTCAAAATGAGACTCAGTAGTGTGTGTGGCCTCCACGTGCCTGTATGACCTCCCTACAATGCCTGGGCATGCTCCTGATGAGGTGGCGGATGGTCTCCTGAGGGATCTCCTCCCAGACCTGGACTAAAGCATCCGCCAACTCCTGGACAGTCTGTGGTGCAACGTGGCGTTGGTGGATGGAGCGAGACATGATGTCCCAGATGTGCTCAATTGGATTCAGGTCTGGGGAACGGGCGGGCCAGTCCATAGCATCAATGCCTTCCTCTTGCAGGAACTGCTGACACACTCCAGCCACATGAGGTCTAGCATTGTCTTGCATTAGGAGGAACCCAGGGCCAACCGCACCAGCATATGGTCTCACAAGGGGTCTGAGGATCTCATCTCGGTACCTAATGGCAGTCAGGCTACCTCTGGCGAGCACATGGAGGGCTGTGCGGCCCCCCAAAGAAATGCCACCACACACCATGACTAACCCACCGCCAAACCGGTCATGCTGGAGGATGTTGCAGGCAGCAGAACGTTCTCCACGGCGTCTCCAGACTCTGTCACGTCTGTCACGTGCTCAGTGTGAACCTGCTTTCATCTGTGAAGAGCACAGGGCGCCAGTGGTGAATTTGTCAATCTTGGTGTTCTCTGGCAAATGCCAAACGTCCTGCACGGTGTTGGGCTGTAAGCACAAAACCCACCTGTGGACGTCAGGCCCTCATACCACCCTCATGGAGTCTGTTTCTGACCGTTTGAGCAGACACATGCACATTTGTGGCCTGCTGGAGGTCATTTTGCAGGGCTCTGGCAGTGCTCCTCCTGCTCCTCCTTGCACAAAGGCGGAGGTAGCAGTCCTGCTGCTGGGTTGTTGCCCTCCTACGGCCTCCTCCACGTCTCCTGATGTACTGGCCTGTCTCCTGGAAGCGCCTCCATGCTCTGGACACTACGCTGACAGACACAGCAAACCTTCTTGCCACAGCTCGCATTGATGTGCCATCCTGGATGAGCTGTACTACCTGAGCCACTTGGGTGGGTTGTAGACTCCGTCTCATGCTACCACTAGAGTGAAAGCACCACCAGCATTCAAAAGTGACCAAAAAGGAAGCATAGGAACTGAGAAGTGGTCTGTGGTCACCACATGCAAAACCAGTCATTTATTGGGGGTGTCTTGCTAATTGCCTATAATTTCCACTTGTTGTCTTTTCCATTTGCACAACAGCATGTGAAATTTATTGTCAATCAGTGTTGCTTCCTAAGTGGACAGTTTGATTTCACAGAAGTGTGATTGACTTGGAGTTCCATTGTGTTGTTTAAGTGTTCCCTTTATTTTTTTGAGCAGTATATATATATATATATATATATATATATATATATATATATATATATATATATATATATATATATATATATACACACACACATACACACACACACATATACAGTGGGGAGAACAAGTATTTGATACACTGCCGATTTTGCAGGTTTTCCTACTTACAAAGCATGTAGAGGTCTGTAATTTTTATCATAGGTACACTTCAACTGTGAGAGACGGAATCTAAAACAAAAATCCAGAAAATCACATTGTATGATTTTTAAGTAATTAATTTGCATTTTATTGCATGACATAAGTATTTGTACATCAGAAAAGCAGAACTTAATATTTGGTACAGAAACCTTTGTTTGCAATTACAGAGATCATACGTTTCCTGTAGGTATTGACCAGGTTTGCACACACTGCAGCAGGAATTTTGGCCCACTCCTCCTTACAGACCTTCTCCAGATCCTTCAGGTTTCTGGGCTGTCGCTGGGCAATACGGACTTTCAGTTCCCTCCAAAGATTTTCTATTGGGTTCAGATCTGGAGACTGGCTAGGCCACTCCAGGACCTTGAGATGCTTCTTACGGAGCCACTCCTTAGTTGCCCTGGCTGTGTGTTTCGGGTCGTTGTCATGCTGGAAGACCCAGCCACGACCCATCTTCAATGCTCTTACTGAGGGAAGGAGGTTGTTGGCCAAGATCTCGCGATCCATGGCCCCATCCATCCTCCCCTCAATAAGGTGCAGTCGTCCTGTCCCCATTGCAGAAAAGCATCCCCAAAGAATGATGTTTCCACCTCCATGCTTCACGGTTGGGATGGTGTTCTTGGGGTTGTACTCATCCTTCTTCTTCCTCCAAACAAGGCGAGTGGAGTTTAGACCAAAAAGCTCTATTTTTGTATCATCAGACCACATGACCTTCTCCCATTCCTCCTCTGGATCATCCAGATGGTCATTGGCAAACTTCAGACGGGCCTGGACATGCGCTGGCTTGAACAGGGGGACCTTGCTTGCGCTGCAGGATTTTAATCCATGACGGCGTAGTGTGTTACTAATGGTTTTCTTTGAGACTGTGGTCCCAGTTCTCTTCAGGTCATTGATCAGGTCCTGCCGTGTAGTTCTGGGCTGATCCCTCACCTTCCTCATGATCATTGATGCCCCACGAGGGGAGATCTTGCATGGAGCCCCAGACCGAGGGTGATTGACCGTCATCTTGAACTTCTTCCATTTTCTAATAATTGCGCCAACATTTGTTGCCTTCTCACCTGCTTGCCTATTGTCCTGTAGCTCATCCCAGCCTTGTGCAGGTCTACAATTTTATCCCTGATGTCCTTACACAGCTCTCTGGTCTTGGCCATTGTGGAGAGGTTGGAGTCTGTTTGATTGAGTGTGTGGACAGGTGTCTTCTATACAGGTAATGAGTTCAAACAGGTGCAGTTAATACAGGTAATGAGTGGAGAACAGGAGGGCTTCTTAAAGAAAAACTAACAGGTCTGTGAGAGCCGGAATTCTTACTGGTTGGTAGGTGATCAAATACTTATGTCATGCAATAAAATGCAAATTAATTACTTAAAAATCATGAAATGTGATTTTCTGGATTTCTGTTTTAGATTCCGTCTCTCACAGTTGAAGTGTACCTATGATAAAAATTACAGACCTCTACATGCTTTGTAAGTAGGAAAACCTGCAAAATCGGCAGTGTATCAAATACTTGTTCTCCCCACTGTATGTATGTATGTATGTATGTATGTATGTATGTATGTATGTATGTATGTATGTATGTATGTATGTGTATGTATGTGTATATATATATATATATATATATATATATATATATATATATATATATATATATATACATATACACACATACATACATACATACAGTTGGGAGAACAAGTATTTAGTCAGCCACCAATTGTGCAAGTTCTCCCACTTAAAAAGATGAGAGAGGCCTGTAATTTTCATCATAGGTACACGTCAACTATGACAGACAAATTGAGAGAAAAAAATCCAGAAAATCACATTGTAGGATTTTTAATGAATTTATTTGCAAATTATGGTGGAAAATAAGCATTTGGTCACCTACAAACAAACAAGTTGTCTGGCTCTCACAGACCTGTAACTTCTTCTCTAAGAGGCTCCTCTGTCCTCCACTCGTTACCTGTATTAATGGCACCTGTTTGAACTTGTTATCAGTATAAAAGACACCTGTCCACAACCTCAAACAGTCACACTCCAAACTCCACTATGGCCAAGACCAAAGAACTGTCAAAGGACACCAGAAACAAAATTGTAGACCTGCACCAGGCTGGGAAGACTGAATCTGCAATAGGTAAGCAGCTTGGTTTGAAGAAATCAACTGTGGGAGCAATTATTAGGAAATGGAAGACATACAAGACCACTGATAATCTCCCTCGATCTGGGGCTCCACGCAAGATCTCACCCCGTGGGGTCAAAATGATCACAAGAACGGTGAGCAAAAATCCCAGAACCACACGGGGGGACCTAGTGAATGACCTGCAGAGAGCTGGGACCAAAGTAACAAAGCCTACCATCAGTAACACACTATGCCGCCAGGGACTCAAATCCTGCTTAAGCCAGTACATGTCCAGGCCGTCTGAAGTTTGCTAGAGTGCATTTGGATGATCCAGAAGAGGATTGGGAGAATGTCATATGGTCAGATTAAACCAAAATATAACTTTTTGGTAAAAACACAACTCATCGTGTTTGGAGGACAAAGAATGCTGAGTTGCATCCAAAGAACACCATACCTACTGTGAAGCATGGGGGTGGAAACGTCATGCTTTGGGGCTGTTTTTCTGCAAAGGGTCCAGGACGACTGATCCGTGTAAAGGAAATAATGAATGGGGCCATGTATCGTGCGATTTTGAGTGAAAACCTCCTTCCATCAGCAAGGGCATTGAAGATGAAACGTGGCTGGGTCTTTCAGCATGACAATGATCCCAAACACACCGCCCGGGCAACGAAGGAGTGGCTTCGTAAGAAGCATTTCAAGGTCCTGGAGTGGCCTAGCCAGTCTCAACCCCATAGAAAATCTTTGGAGGGAGTTGAAAGTCCGTGTTGCCCAGCGACAGCCCCAAAACTTCACTGCTCTAGAGGAGATATGCATGGAGGAATGGGCCAAAATACCAGCAACAGTGTGTGAAAACCTTGTGAAGACTTACAGAAAACATTTGACCTGTATCATTGCCAACAAAGGCTATATAACAAAGTATTGAGAAACTTTTGTTATTGACCAAATAGTTATTTTCCACCATAATTTGCAAATAAATTCATTAAAAATCCTACAATGTGATGTTCTGGATTTTTTTTCTTCTCATTTTGTCTGTCATAGTTGACGTGTACCTATGATGAAAATTACAGGCCTCTCTCATCTTTTTAAGTGGGAGAACTTGCAAAATTGGTGGCTGACTAAATACTTTTTTCCCCCACTGTATATATACACATACACACACACACACACACACACACACACACACACACGCACACACACATATATACATACACACACACACACACACACACACACACACACACATATATATATATACACATACACACAGTGCCTTCAGAAAGTATTCAGACCCCTTCACTTTTTACACACTTACGTTACAGACTTATGCTAAAATTGATTAATGACAACAATTCCTCAGCAATCTACACACAATACCCCATAATGACAAAGCGAAAACAGGTTTTCAGAAATAACTTATTTACATAAGTATTCAGACCCTTTGCTATGAGACTCGAAATTGAGCTCAGGTGCATCCTTTTTCATTGACCATTTTTGATTTTAGTCATTTAGCAGATGCTCTTATCCAGAGCGACTGACAGTGAGTGCATAAATTTTTCATATATCATCCTTGAGATGTTTCTACAACTGGATTGGAGTCAACCTGTGGTAAATTCAATTGATTGGACATGATTTGGAAAGGCCCACACCTGTCTATATAAGGTCCCACAGTTGACAGTGCATGTCTGAGAAAAAACCAAGCCATGAGGTCGAAGGAATTGTCCGTAGAGCTCCGAGAGAGGATTGTGTCTAGGCACGGATCTGGGGAAGGGTACCAAAACATTTCTGCAGCATTGAAGCTCCCCGAGAACACAATGGCCTCCATCATTCTTAAATGGAAGAAGTTTAGAACCACCAAGACTCTTCCTAGAGCTGGCCACCTGGCCAAACTGAGCAATCGGGGGAAAAGGGCCTTGGTCAGGGAGGTGACCAAGAACCCAATGGTTACTCTTACAGAGCTCTAGAGTTCCTCTGTGGAGATGGGAGAACCTTCCAGAAGGACAACCATCTCTGCAACACTCCACCAATCAGGCCTTTATGGTAGAGTGGCCAGACGGAAGCCACTCCTCAGTAAAAGGCACATGACAGTCCGTGCTTAGAGTTGCCAAAAGGCACCTAAATTATCTGGTCTGATGAAACCAAGATTTAACTCTTTGGCCTCAATCCCAAGCGTCACGTCTGGAGGAAACCTGGCACCATCCCTACGGTGAAGCATGGTGGTGGCAGCATCATGCTGTGGGGATGTTTTTCAGCAGCAGGCACTGGGATACTAGTCAGGATCGAGGAAAATATTATCGGAGCAAAGTACAGAGAGATCCTTGATGAAAACCTGCTCCAGAGCACTCAGGACCTCAGACTGGGGTGAAGGTTCACCTTCCAACAGGACAACAACCCTAAGCACACAGCCAAGACAATGCAGGAGTGGCTTCGGGACAAGTCTCTGAATGTCCTTGAGAGGCCCAGCCAGAGCCCGGACTCGAACCCGATTGAACATCTCTGGAGAGACCTGAAAGTAGCTGTGCAGCAATGCTCCCCATCCTACCTGACAGAGCTTGAGAGGATCTGCAGAGAAGAATGGGAGAAAGTCCCCAAATACAGGTGTGCCAAGCTTGTAGCGTCATACCCAAGAAGACTCGATGCTGTAATCGCTACGAAAGGTGCTTCAACAAAGTACTGAGTAAAGAGTCTGAATACTTTTATTTTGTAATAAATTAGCAAAAATGTCAAAACACTTTTTTTTTGCTCTGTCATTATGTGTAGATTGATGAGAGGAAAAAACAATAATCAATTTCAGAATAAGGCTGTAACGTCACAAAATGTGGAAAAGGTCAAGGGGTCTGAATACTGCACTATAAAGGGAATAGGGTGCAATTTGGAAGCTAGCCCATCCTCCGCATAACACAGCCAAAACTTCTAATGGTCATGTCCTATTACAGTCAAACTCTTGCAGTCGAGACTAGTTATTTTCAAGGCCATATATTGGCACGGGTGAAATAAATTACCTGCTCGCATCTCGAACAACAAACAGTTAAAAATGTAAAACGGGGAGGAGTAAAAAATAACTCATCCTTATGAAGGTTTTCATTTGAAAACGAACGGTGCATCCCTCAGCTCACCCGTCTCTGACTCCCAGTGAGGCTTATATGGTGTGACGTGCAAAAACGACCTTATGACCTCTACTGGGCTAGCCCAGGCATTTCTCCCTCTACCTTTCTATCTATCCAAACGAAGGCTGAGTCCCCAAATAGTAGTATATTCCCTATATAATGCACTACTTTTGACCAAGGCACACTATATTTTTAGAGGTATTGTTAACGCCCTCATAAAGAAAATGAGAATTAAAAACAGGTTCAGCCCCTGGTTCGACCGTGATCTGGCAGAGTTACTCCACCTCAAGAACTCCATTTGGCGAAAGGCTCGGCACACGCATACTCAGGCTGAGTGGCTCTCGTTCAGGCAAATGAGAAATAAGTGCACTCAGGCTATCCGGAAGGCCAAAGTTAGTTACTTTAAGGAGCAGTTCTCTCTCTGTGGGTCTAACCCTAAGTAGTTCCTCCTCACAGCTGCCCATGTCCCTTAATGTTGATGATGTGGTTGTTCCTGACAAGGAGCACATGGCTGAGCTCTTTAATCACCACTTCATTAAGTCAGGATTCCTATTTGACTAAGCCATGCCTCCTTGCACATCCAACATTTCCTCATCTCCCAGCCCTTCTAATGCGACTAGCCCCGATGCTCCTCCCTCTTCTTCCCCTGCCCCGCTACAAAGTTTCTCCCTGCAGGCAGTCACAGAGTCTGAGGTGCTAAAGGAGCTCCTTAAACTTGACCCCATCTGGGTCAGATGGTTTAGATCCTTTCTTCTTTAAGGTTGCAGCCCCTATCATCGCCAAGTCTATCTCTGAACTTTTTAACTTCTCTCCTCTCTGGGGATGTTCCCACTGCTTGGCTGCGTCCTTTATTTAAAGGGGGAGATCAAGCTGATCCTAACTGTTACAGGCCAATTTCTATTTTGCCCTGTTTATTAAAAGTGTTAGTAAAACTTGTCAATCAACTGACTGGCTTTCTTGATGTCTATAATATTTTCTCTGGTATGCAATCTGGTTTCCGCTCAGGTTATGGATGTGTCACTGGAACCTTAGAGGTCCTAAATGATGTCACCATTGCCCTTGATTCTAAGCAATGTTGTGCTGCTATTTTTATTGACTTTGATAGTAGACCATTCCATTCTTGTGGACCGGCTAAGGAGTATTGGTGTCTATGAGGGGTCTTCGGCCTGGTTTGCTAACTACCTCTATCAAAGAGTGCAGTGTATAAAGTCAGAACATCTGCTGTCTCAGCCACTGCCTGTCACCAAGAGAGTACCCCAAGGCTCGATCCTAGGCCCAACGCTCTTCTCAATTTACATCAACCACATAGCTCAGGCAGTAGGAAGCTCTCTCATCCATTTATATGCAGATGATAGTCTTATACTCAGCTGGGCCCCTCCCCGGATTTTGTGTTAAACGCTCTACAACAAAGCTTTCTTAGTGTCCAACAAGCTTACTCTGCCCTTAACCTTGTTCTGAACACCTCCAAAACAAAGGTCATGTGGTTTGGTAAGAAGAATGCCCCTCTCCCCACCGGTGTGATTACTACCTCTGAGGGTTTAGAGCTTGAGGTAGTCACCTCATACAAGTACTAGAGAGTATGGCTAGACGGTACACTGTCCTTCTCTCAGCACATATCAAAGCTGCAGGCTAAGGTTAAATCTAGACTTGGCTTCCTCTATTTTAATCGCTCATCTTTCACCCCAGCTACCAAACTAACCCTGATTCAGATGACCATCCTACCCATGCTAGATTACGGAAATGTAATTTATAGATCGACAGGTAAGGGTGCTCTCTAGTGGCTAGATGTTCTTTAACATTCGGCCATCAGATTTGCCACCAACGCTCCTTATAGGACACATCACTGCACTCTATACCCACTGGTTGAAGCTTATTTATAAAACAAACCTTAGGCATCACCCCCCCCTATCTGAAATACCTACTGCAGCACTCATCCTCCACATACAACACCAGTTCTGCCAGTCACATTCTGTTAAAGGTCCCCAAAGCACACACATCCATGGGTCGCTCCTCTTTTCAGTTTGCGGCAGCTAGCGACTGGAACGAGCTGCAAAAAACACCCAAACTGGACAGTTTTATCTCCATCTCTTCATTCAAAGATTCAATCATGGACACTCTTACTGACAGTTATGGCTGCTTCGCGTGATGTATTGGTGTCTTCTTGCCCGTTGTGCTGTTGTCTGTGCCCAATCATGTTTGTACCATGTTGTGTTGCTGCAATACTATGTGGTTGTCTTAGGTCTCTCTTTATGTAGTGTTGTGGTGTCTTGTCGTGATGTGTGTTTTGTCCTATATTTTATTTATTGTATTTATATATTTTTAATACCAGCCCCTGTCCCCGCAGGAGACCTTTTTTCCTTTTGGTAGGCCGTCATTGTAAATAAGAATGAGTTCTTAGCTGACTTGCCTAGTTAAATAAAGGTTAAATAAATAAATAAAATAATAATAATAATAATAATAATAATAATAATGATAAGTGGTGCCATTTGGGATGCAGCAGAGGTAGCTAGGTAGAGTTGTAGCGACTGACTGACTAAGTCAGCGTAGTAATAATAGCACCATGTAATTAGTGGTGTGGCAGTGCAAGCTGAGTGGTGCATGGACCACAGCGGTCTCCTCTCACCTGGGAGTGACTCAGTCAATAGCACACGCAACATTCTCATAGCTAATTGCTAGTTGTCATGGAGAATTTCAGCAGGCCCTATGAAAAGAGCTACAGTGAAATTACAACCGAATACCCAATTAGGGGGAAATCACAGGCTAGAGTAAAGGAGAGGGGAGGGGGGGAGGAGAGGGGGAATTGTCGCCATGTTCGATTAGCGGAGGCGTCCGTCAAAGAAAGAGAAAAAGAGCGAGGGAGCTGACGGACGTAAATCTCACCTGGTGAGAAACTCCACGACAGCGTCGCCGAGAAACTCCAGCCGCTCGTTGTGATTGATTCTGAAGAGAGAGAGAAAAAGAGATTAAGAAAGAGACATGAAGGCAGAGAGGAGAGAGAGGTCTCAGTCTATCGTATATCAGACATTTACACAGGAACCACAGGTCTCTGAGACCAAATCAACACAATCTGACAAATATCAGGGGTGAAAATCCAATAGCGACCTGAAATATGGCCTACATGTTTGAATCAAGTTGATTAATTCTACTCAAGTGTATTTATTCAGCCTCAAACTTTCACAAATCTATAGAACACATTTATTAGCACACAATGCAAAGGTGTTTGGAATAGAAATGGCCCCTGCATCAGTGGTTGGTGACAATGCTTAGGCTCACTCATGGAACTATGTGCAGGGCCAACCCGCACTAGGGCATAGCAAGACAGCAACTGCTTGGCTTAGGGACATTGCATTTGCTAAGTATACATTACATAATAGATTGGAATAAGAATGGCCCCTGCATCAGTGGTTGGTGACATTGCTTAGACCTCCTTATGGAAGTAGGGCCTACCTGGAGGGGGAGGGGTCGTCTTGTCCAAGACGAGACATGATGTTGATCAAGGTGTTGATTCCTGACCAATCAGACAGAGGTTGGTTAGTCAGCATAGGCAACAGAAACATCCATCGATCAATATTGATGATGGTGTGTGTGTGTGCGCGCGCGGATATGTATTCTACTGTAGGTACCCACCCTTCTTCCTCATGTACATGTGGTGGACCTTCCTGTCTCCATACTTGGGCTGGCGGATGCCACAGTTGGACAGAGAGTTACGGGCGTGGTCCGGGTTCATGCCGAAGTTCAGGTGGTGGCTGGGGTGAGTCATGGCCAGCTGGAGAGAGAGGAAGAAGAAGTCAGAACCTGCTGATGGTGACTGATGGGTGACTCTTCTGGGACCGTATGTATCACCATCTGAATGGATAAATTGAGCTACAGTATGTACTATGTGAATTAGCATCCCAAAAATATGAATCAAATGGAAGGAAGTATAAATAAAATCAAGCATTTTAGAACAGAAAAAGCCAGTAGCACAGTAGAAGATTTACACATATTCCCCACCACTGTGCTTTGTTTGGAAAGCAGGGTGTCTGTCTGATCCGAACATCATCAACCGAGGAGAAACAGGGAAAAGAGAATATGGCTGTAGTACTCAGTAAGACGTGCCGAGCATTTATCAATCTAACATTATCAGAATGTAGCTTCTATCAGCAAAAACACTAACTCATCTCTCCTCTCAACGGACTGCTCGGGTTTCCAACTTAAAATCAATTTCAAGCTCCAATGAGATATATGTAAAAAGTTAACAGAGGGGGTTTCAAAATCATCACTCCAGACGCCACCAGGGTTGTATCCTTGAACAGAAACAAATTATTTTTTGCTGTAACTAAAAGAAACAGAACTGCATTCAACAGTTTTCAGAACTATTTGACATTGTACAAGTAGAAGTCTAGCACAACTCTGTCCTCTTGTCTGAAAGGTTGACACAAAAATACTTGGAATTCTAAATTATCCCTGTTGTGCAAACAGAGAAATGTCAGACACATCGGCTGTGTCCCGAATGGCACTTATGAGCCCTGGTCAAAAGAAGTGCACTGTACAGAGAAAATTGTGCCTTTTGGGATGCAGCCATAGAGTGACAAAGACAATACACTTAGTCCTCCTTCACAGAGTTATTAACGTTACACTTGAAAGCGCTCAGAACAGCTAAGTGTTAGATGCTTTTTTTGCCCTCCCACGTCACTTTATACACAGAAGATCTCTGCTAACCTTCGTGGGTTATCCGTCTCTCTGTGACCATAACTTCAGAACAAAGTTGACTACAAATACAAAGTTGCACTGCCTTTGCCACTGATACAAACAAGCACTGTATAAAAATATGCTTCAAATGAAAACCGAGATGACTGCATTAAGATAAACAGTAAGCTATAGGCCTATTTCAAATCATATTGAAATACATTTCATGTTCAATCAATTGAGTTCTATTATGCTATTTGTAGGCTACGGTCTGTAATTTGTCTCAGTATATTTCATGCTGTGTAGCCTAACGTGCGCAATTATGTTCCAAATCGGTAATTTAGAGCATTTGTATTGGGTAAGCATTAGAATACGCATGCCTCAATATTTGCAGCCGTAGGTGGTAATATCTCTTTAGGAGCTAATCCATCGTCAGTATTGTGAAATAATTATAATGTTAAGGATAGATTTGAACAGAGAAAGCTGATCCGAGAGCAGCATACCCTTTCATTCGATCCTATCCGTATCGACTCATGCTCCAACTACGCACTTAGCGACCGTTCCCACTGCGTGGTGTTTTGGGAAACGCATGTTACATCTTCGGCCGTTGTAGGAAAGACGCATTATTAGAAACAGTCGTAAGCCTACATTCCATCGCTATCGCAAAACCGGTCCCTGGAAAGGATGCTAGTCTGTCAAAATTATGATTGCATGAAGTTATGGGGCTTTGGATATACTGATCATTGCATTGTCTATTGGCTCCTCAACAGCCTTTGGCTAAACATGAGTAATCATGATAGATGACCCTGCTAGTCTTCTATGAACATTTGAACATCTTGAAGAACGACCTGGCCTTAATGGCCATGATCTCTTATAATCTCCACCCGGCACAGGCAGAAGAGGACTGGCCACCCCTCAGAGTCTGGTTCCTCTCTAGGTTTCTTCCTCAGTTCCTGCCTTTCTAGGGAGTTTTTCCTAGCCACCGTGCTTCTACATCTGCATTGCTTGCTCTTTGGGGTTTTAGGCTGGGTTTCTGTATAAGCACTTTGTGACATCTGCTGATGGAAAAAGGGCTTTAAAAATACATTTGATTTAATAACTCAGGAGGAAAGTCTGAGTGTTTCTCAAATGGCACCCTATCCCCTCATATTCCCTATATAGTGCACTACTTTAGACCATTAATTATGTTGGAAATTAGAGATACGAAAACATGATCCACTTTGGCACAAACACACACAGAGTGAGATAACATCTGAGATGGGGCTGTGGTAGAGTTGTACAGTTGAATAATTGAGGCCCTTCAGGCAGTCTCTGTTCCTGTCAGCACAGGTCAGGGGAGAAGGGTGAGTAGGGACGGGGAGGAGGAGCACGGGGGAGGTGGGTGAGGAAACTGAGGGGTGGAGGAGGTGGTTTAAAGAACAGAAGAGAAGGGGGCAGGCAGGAGATCATCGACGATGCTTGCATGTCTCCAACCGTCACTACATCTATAACCGAAAAGGATGTTGTAATCTAGAGCTCCCCTGCAGGACGATAGAGGAAACTACAGGACATGGACTGGTGGTGTGTCTGAGTGAGTGAGTGAGTGAGTGTAAGGCCTCTACCATCAGCCAGGGCTTTCTAATTAACAATAATGATGACAGGCCATCATCACTACCACACAAAGACACGGCCACTGCCTATCACACACACATAATCACAGACAGACACGCACAATACCGCAGGTTAACACATGAATGCAAGCGTGCACAAGAACAAACACATCTAAATTAGGGAGGTGTTACATGGTCTGTGAAAATGCAGGAATCATGACTAGGTCATTAGGTGTCTTTTAATTAGCCATGTTTGTTACCCCCTACTCCTTTTCACCAAAAAGCAGGTAAAACGAAGCAGGCATGGTCAATTAGTGGGATCTTTGTCTGTTTATGAAAGGGTAAGAGTGCCTTGAGTGTATGATCATGAGGCAACCATCAGCCCATCCCCTCTCTTTAAGCATGCATACAACACATTAATTTCTAATGTATCAGTCTCTGTATGACAGCTCTCCAATAGTGCTGGAGGCAGCACTGAGGCGCTGAGGCTAATGCTGTGAGCTCTGGAAGGCTACAGCCCTGATGGGACTACACTGGCTGTATGTGTGTGTGTGTACAGTGTATTGAAAAATATTCAGACACTGACTTTTTCCACATTGTGTTAAGGTACAGCCTAATTCTAAAATGTATTAAATTGTTTTTTATTTACATAAGTATTCAGACCCTTTACTCGGTACTTTGTTGAAGCACCTATGGCAGCGATTAAAGCCTCAAGTCTTCTTGGCTATGACGCGTCAAGCTTGGCACACCTGCAGATCCTCTCAAGCTCTGTCAGGTAGGATGGGGAGCGTCGCTGCACAGCTATTTTCAGGTCTCTCCAGAGATGTTCGACCGGGTTCAAGTCCAGGCTCTGGCTGAGCCACTCAAGGACATTCAGAGACTTGTCCCGAAGCCACTCCTGCGTTGTCTTGGCTGTGTGCTTAGGGTCGTTGTCCTGTTGGAAGGTGAACCTTCGCCCCCTGCTCTGGAGCAGGTTTTCATCAAGGATCTCTGTACTTTGCTCCGTTCATCTTTCCCTTGCTCCTGACTGGTCTCCCAATCCCTGCCGCTGAAAAACATCCCCGCAGCATGATGATGCCACCACCATGCTTCACCGTAAGGATGGTGCCAGGTTTCCTCCAGGCGTGACTCTTGGCATTCAGGCCAAAGAGCTAAATCTTGGTTTTATCAGACCAGAGAATCTTCTTTCTCATGGTCGGAGAGTCCTTTACGTGCCTTTTGGCAAACTCCAAGAGGGCTGTCATGTGCCTTTCACTGAGGAGTGGCTTCTGTCTGGCCACTCCACCATAAAGGCCTGATTGGTGTAGTACTGCAGAAATGGTTGTCCTTCTGGAAGGTTCTCCCATCTCCACAGAGGAACTCTGGAGCTCGGTCAGAGTGACCATCGGGTTCTTGGTCACCTCCTTGCCCAAGGTCCTTCTCACCCAATTGCTCAGTTTGGCCGGGCGGCCAGCTCTAGGAAGAGTCTTGGTGGTTCCAAACTTCTTCCACTTAAAAATGATGGAGGCCACTGTGTTCTTGGGGACCTTCAATTCCGCAGACATTTTTTGGTACCCTTCCCCAGATCTGTTCCTCGACACAATCCTGTCTCGGAGCTCTATAGACAATTCCTTCGACCTCATGGCTTGATTTTTCACAGACATGTACTATCAACGGTAGGACCTTATATAGACAGGTGTGTGCCTTTCCAAATCATGTCCAATCAATTGAATTTTCTACAGGTGGACTCCAATCAAGTTGTAGAAACATCTCAAGGATGATCAATGGAAACAGGATGCACCTGAGCTCAATTTCGAGTCTCATAGCAAAGGGTCTGAATATTTTTTATTTTTTATAAATGTGCAAAAATGTCTAAAAAGCTGTTTTCGCTTTGTCATTATGGGGTATGGTGTGTAGATTCATGAGGATTTTTATTTATTTAATCAATTTTAGAATAAGGCTTTAACGTAACAAAATGTGAAAAAAGTAAAGTGGTCTGAATACTTTCCGAATGCACTGTATGTGTGTCCTTGCTAAGGCAGGCACATAGCAGTGGTGTTGGTGTAACCAGCTGTTGCAGGGGCAAGTTGTTTGGCCACAGTAAAATCTGGAACCCCTCAGTCCCCGTGGTAGTCAACAGCATGTGCCCGTGGCCCTCCTACGCAAAGCTCCTCCTTCATAATAAAACACCCACAGTTTGATCACAGTGTCCATTGACATTAGTAGGCCACCATGATGCTGTGTTTGTGTGTAATTTGAGCAGTGTAGGCGCTGTGTGTGTGTAGCCTAGCTGTGGTTGATAAAAGCCTAGTCTGTTGACAGCTATAACCACAGGGTAACACACACAGAAACAGACACACACAGAGGCTAACAGGCTAACATGAGGCAACCGTCAGCCCATCCCCTCTCTTTAAGCATGACTACAACACATTCATTTCTAATGTATCAGTCTCTGTATGACAGCTCTCCAATAGTGCTGGAGGCAGCACTGAGGCGCTGAGGCTAATGCTGTGAGCTCTGGAAGGCTACAGCCCTGATGGGACTACACTGGTTGTGTGTGTGTGTGTGTGTGTGTGTGTGTGTGTGTGTGTGTGTGTTCGTGCGTCTCACCTGTAACAGGCAGCGCTCCTTGAAGACGTAGCCAATCAGCTCATCCAGGTGCTTCAGACACTGGTGGTAGCGGATGTGGTGGGTCAACACCGGCAACATCATAGCATGCTGCAGAGAGAGAGATGGAGGGAGGGAGAGTGAGACAGATTGAGAGATGGAAAAATAAGGGGAAAGGGAGAGAGAGGAGAGGTGGATGAAGTGAGAGGTGGAGAGAGATAGAGAGAGACAGACACAGAGCAAGAGGAATAGATAGAGAGACAGTAAGAGAGAAGGGAGAGAGAACATGGTCAAATCAAATCAGCCAGTCATTATTAAGTGGTGCTCCGACAGAGGGAGATTTCAAATCAGTGTGACTGTTTTTCACCATGAGAAGAAATTAGAGTTGTGGGGGAAATTCAGGACCTCTATTTTAACAAGCTGAAAGAAACCTGCCTCTGCAGAAACATAGCCAGTGTCAAAGAAATGAAAGAAAGAAAGAAATACATTTTAAATTGTAATAAATAAAAGGAAATGTTTAAAAAAGAAAGAAAGAAAGAACAAAAGACAGGAAGGAGTGAGGGAGCGAGAAAGAGAGAAGAGGGAGAGAGGCGAGGGAGAGACTGCGCGAGTAAGTGAGAGAAAGAGAGTAACCAATATGAGCCATCATTAGCGGGAGTCTCATCAGTCCGTACTAGGAGAACAGTGGGGGGAGCGTTGTGTAGCGGGTGGAACACCCATTAACCCTGCGCCACCACGTAAGACAGGCAGCGCTACATGTTTTAATTAGTGTTACCGCGGGAGCCCGTGGTTCCTACAGGTCAGTCAAATGAGCTGCATCGCTTGCTTGCTCTCTTTTTCCCTTTCCTCTGCGCCATCTTTCTCTCTCCACTCTCTCTCCATCCCTTTCTCTCTCTCTCCCCGTGTGTCTTTATCTCGCTCTCTCTGTGCTAACCACTAACCCACACAGCCCCAGAGCTGATCAGTCAGCCCACCCCTGGCCCTCGACTGCCGACCCACCGCCCACAGTGCACGTCCACACCACTCTAAGGCCTTGTTAACCAGCCAATTAACAAAGCAAGACCGTGTCTCAACCCATCAGACTCGCTCAAATTAGGCTACAGCCCGAGTGGCTGAGACAACATTAGCATGGGTCCACTCCCAGACCATATTACTCACTGAGTCCTCAGTAGGAGATGGGGGGGCGGTGTAGGATTGTGTCTGTGTGGGGGCAGGTGTGTGTGTGTTTGTGAGAAAGCGAGTGCTCATATGCCGTCAGTGGTAGGCTCTAGCTACCGGCCAAGAAACTGCTGGCAATGTGTCTTTGTTTGCTATGAGTGGCTGACGTTATGGTATGATGGTAGAAAAACCACAGGTGGTAGGGTGTGTATCTGTGAGTGTGTGCATACTTGTGTATCTATGTGCGTGCATCTGTGCGTGTGCATTTTATTGCATTTGAGCGTGGATCTGTGCATAGGTTTGCTGCGTCTCGGAGTGTATAGCGTGTGTGTGGCAGCAAAGCGTCTCTCCTGCCTACCTGACAGACGTCAGAACGGATGCCAGTCTTCCAGAAGCCCTGGCTGCTGAGCTCCACAGTCACCTCCCGGCGCATGGTGTTCTTCTGGCGGATCTTCTGAAGGGCTTCCTGATAAAACAACACCCGCACATTATTAAGCCTGGTGTGTGTGTGTGTGTGTGTGTGTGTGTCTGATAGGAGCCTCCTGACAAACACACATACATTATTGATCCAACCATCTTTCCACCACACAATGTCTGTTAACCCAGAAGTCAAATATTGGGTAATTTGGTCAGCTGCGTGATTAACTTGAGTTCATACTTTGAGAGCAAAAATGAAGTCTCCACCCTCACAAAAATAAACTCTCTTCCTCTCAGTGTGGGGACACGCGCAAAACACTAGAGAAAAAGTAGTTTAAGCACTGCCTTCGCCCAATCCTGATACATCCAAATAACCAGTCATGAAAATCAGAACTAATGCTACTCATTATCTCACGCATCCCGTTCAGTCCCAGCAGATTCTCCGGTCTACTCGCAGAATACGCCCATGGGAGATTACACCATAAATAGTTAAAGATACAAGAACAGAGAGAGAGAGAGAGACGCAAATCTAACACCGACACACACACACACAAACGGGTATACAGAACGCACACACAGCTTTCTTTTCCTTCCTTCCTCCCCTCTCTCCAGGTAGTGATCCAACCCCCCGCATCTCATGACAGACACAATAAAAGTGGAAGCAAGAGACAGCTCCACTAGGCCTGGCTAATTGAGGCATTGCAATGGGGCAGCATGGCAGCTGACGTTGTGTGTGTGTGCGTTTTGTGTGTGTGTGTTGCGTGTGCGAGAGAGGCGTGCCCAGAGGCATCAGGCTGTCTATAAGGACCTGCAGCTAGCTTTGGCTCCAACACACACAGTGCAGACACATGCACTGCACACACATTTGGGTTGTCGAGAAAACCCTAAATCTTTGGTTCTAGGGCTAAAGTGTACACAGTGTCAACCCCTGCAGCAGAGCAGACACCTGGTAACACAGAGGAGAGGTGAGGTCTGCACCAGAGACATTCAACTCCCAAATGGCACCCTATTCCCTATATAGTGCACTACTTTTGACCAGAGCACTATGGTCCCTATTTCCTACATAGTGCATGACTTTTAACCAGTATATAGGGAATAGGGTGCCATTTAGGACACAGCCCTGGGCCAGTATCCAGTGTCTCAGTGTAGAACATTGGTCGTAAGTGCTGATAAGAGACATTTTACTCCTACTCGTATGGGAAAAAATTAAAGCTATGCATTAAACCCTGGATTGCTGATGCTATGTATTGGCCATTGAGAGGCTTTGAAGCCCCCGGTCGTCCATATTGGCACTCCCCAGTAGGAGCAGTCCTCCATAGGAATGAATGGAATTCTACAGTATTTCATTTAAATGTTTCAAGGACAAAATTCCATGTATTAAAGTATTATTTAAAAAGAACTGTAGTGGGGAATGTAACATTAGTAATCTCAAAAACTCTTACTTTTTAAACTACACTACCAGTCAAAGAAGACAGCCCTAGTTGGTAAAAGACCAAGTCCATATTGTGGCAAGAACAGCTCAAATAAGCAAAGAGAAACTACAGTACATCATTACTTTAAGACAAGAAGGTCAGTCAATACGGAACATTTCAAGAACTTTGAAAGTTTCTTCAAGTGCGGTCGCAAAAACCATCAACAGCTATCATACAGTCAGTCACCGAACAAGAGCACCAACCAACTTCTCTTCTCTGATGGGATGAAAAGCATCTTTCTCCAATTTAACGGCACTGGTTTGGTCGCAGCGTTCATTTTACACTATTCAGCACAAAAGAATAGATGAACGTTTACCAGGCCTGTGGATGAACAAGTGATACGCGAACGCACACAGAAACTCACACTCCTAATGACGTTCCCAGGGGGTTGGGGAAAATAGGAGTGTTGCTGTATTGTCATGGCTGGGTGAAGACTCGCTGACATAGCAGACCCTTGGAGCTGTGATGACCTGGCGCGCGCGCGTGTGTGTATATAGGTTGACAGTGGGAATACCAGTAACTGTATGTGACGCTGCCGGAGCCCCTAGCCAGTGCTACCTGGGAAACAGGCTAATTGACTGTGCGCTTAAGACACAGACACGCACACACACAGTCTGAGCTGGAGCTACAACAGCCTCGACAGCAGCTACTGCAGAAAAGAACAAAAACAAAACATAAGCTCAACAAAGGCAATAGGAGCAAGCAGAGAAAATAAATATACAGTGGAGAAAAAAAGTATTTAGTCAGCCACCAAATTGTGCAAGTTCTCCCACTTAAAAATATGAGAGGCCTGTAATTTTCATTATAGGTACACGTCAACTATGACAGACAAAATGAGAAAAGAAAATCCAGAAAATCACATTGTAGGATTTGTAATGAATTTATTTGCAAATTATGGTGTAAAATAAGTATTTGGTCAATAACAAAAGTTTCTCAATACTTTGTTATATACACTTTGATGGCAATGACACAGGTCAAACGTTTTCTGTAAGTCTTCACAAGGTTTTCACACACTGTTGCTGGTATTTTGGCCCATTCCTCCATGCAGATCTCCTCTAGAGCAGTGATGTTTTGGGGCTGTCGCTGGGCAACACGAACTTTCAACTCCCTCCAAATATTTTCTATGGGGTTGAGATCTGGAGACTGGCTAGGCCACTCCAGGACCTTGAAATGCTTCTTACGAACCCACTCCTTCGTTGCCTGGGCGGTGTGTTTGGGATCATTGTCATGCTGAAAGACCCAGCCACGTTTCATCTTCAATGCCCTTGCTGATGGAAGGAGGTTTTCACTCAGAATCTCAAGATACATTGCCCCATTCATTCTTTCCTTTACACGGATCAGTCGTCCTGGTCCCTTTGCAGAAAAACAGCCCCAAAGCATGATGTTTCCACCCCCATGCTTCACAGTAGGTATGGTGTTCTTTGGATGCAACTCAGCATTCTTTGTCCTCCAAACACAACGAGAGTTCTATTTTGGTTTCATCTGACCATATGACATTCTCACAATCCTCTTCTGGATCATCCAAATGCACTCTAGCAAACTTCAGACGGGCCTGGACATGTACTGGCTTAAGCAGGGGGAGTGTGTTACTGATGGTAGGCTTTGTTACTTTGGTCCCAGCTCTCTGCAGGTCATTCACTAGGTCCCCCTGTGTGGTTCTGGGATTTTTGCTCACCGTTCTTGTGATCATTTTGACCCCACGGGGTGAGATCTTGCGTGGAGCCCCAGATCGAGGGAGATTATCAGTGGTCTTGTATGTCTTCCATTTCCTAATAATTGCTCCCACAGTTGATTTCTTCAAACCAAGCTGCTTACCTATTGCAGATTCAGTCTTCCCAGCCTGGTGCAGGTCTACAATTTTGTTTCTGGTGTCCTTTGACAGCTCTTTGGTCTTGGCCATAGTGGAGTTTGGAGTGTGACTGTTTGAGGTTGTGGACAGGTGTCTTTCATACTGATAACAAGTTCAAACAGGTGCCATTAATACAGGTAACGAGTGGAGGACAGAGGAGCCTTTTAAAGAAGAAGTTACAGGTCTGTGAGAGCCAGAAATCTTGCTTGTTTGTAGGTGACCAAATACTTATTTTCCACCATAATTTGCAAATAAATTCATTAAAAATCCTACAATGTTATTTTCTGGATGTTTTCTTCTCAATTTGTCTGTCATAGTTGACGTGTACCTATGATGAAAATTACAGGCCTCTCTCATCTTTTTAAGTGGGAGAACTTGCACAATTGGTGGCTGACTAAATATATTTTTTCCCCACTATAGATGAAAAGAAGCTATAGACAGTGGTTGCAGCATTAACGGCAACCTATTCCCTACACAGTGCACTACATTACACAAGGGCCCATATGGTTCTGGTCAAAAGTAGTGCAATATTTAGGGAATAGGTTTGCCATTTGGGACACATACAGTGAATGGGGCATCAGCACTGCAGCACACGGCTACAATCTGATGTTAGATGGTTCTAGTAATTACACTAGTACATGTTCAGCTTCACGCTCCTGTGAAATTACAATTGTATGAAGCTGGCATGTGTCATACTTAATTATAATGAGGCCAGGGAGATGTACAGTAGTGTGTGGTACCCACCTCCCTCTGTGTTAGTTTCTGCTTGTCTATCTGCTTGACCTTGGGGCTGTTAGCCAGCAGGTGGCGTAGTTTCACATAGCTCTTCCACAGCTTCTGGTACCTGGGTGGGAGAGAGAAGGAGAGAGGGAGGGGGAAAAGCAGAAGTCAAGCTGATGCTCTCAGAACAGCACATCAATATTTAAAATGGCACTGACCATTATTAAACATAATTTAACAGTAGCTTCCAGGCATTACTCCATGAGTCTGCTCTGTGTGTGTGTGTTGTGGACTGGAATGGCTCTTCAGTACGTCTGCTGTTTCAGACCATAGAGGTCGGTGAGGCCGCCTTCACCCACCCAGGCAGCAGAGATAAAATAGTCTATAAGCGCTGGTTGGTTGTTGTAACACTAGTTCACTCACTATTCACTCTTCTGTAAAGCGCTGCAGTTATACCACATTTATATACATTACCAGTCAAAAGTTTGGACACCTACTCATTCAATGTTTTTTCTTTATTTTCACTATTTTCTACAATGTAGAATAATAGTGAAGACATCAAAACTATGAAATAACACAGTAACCAAATAAGTGTTAAACAATTCAAAATGTATTTTATATTTGACATTCTTCAAAGTAGCCTCCCTTTGCCTTGATGACAGCTTTGCACACTCTTGGCATTCTCTCAACCAGATTAATGAGGTAGTCACCTGGAATGCATTTCAATTAACAGGTGTGCCTTCTTAAAAGTTAATTTGTGGAATTTCTTTCCTTCTTAATGCGTTTGAGCCAATCAGTTGTGTTGTGACAAGGTAGGGGTGGTATACAGAAGATAGCCCTATTTGGTAAAAGACCAAGTCCATATTATGGCAACAGCTCAAATAAGCAAAGAGAAACGACAGTCCATCATTACTTTAAGACATGAAGGTCAGTCAATGCAGAACTTTGAAAGTTTCTTCAAGTGCTGTCGCAAAAACCATCTAGAGCTATGATAAAACTGGCTCTCATGAGGACCGCCACAGGAAAGTAAGACCCAGAGTTACCTCTGCTGCAGAGGATAAGTTCATTTGAGTTAACTGCACCTCAGATTGCAGCCCAAATAAATGCTTCAGAGTTCAACTAACAGACACATCTCAACATCAACTGTTCAGAGGAGACTGTGTGAATCAGGCCTTGATGGTCGAATTGCTGCAAAACACCACTACTAAAGGACACCAATAAGAAGAATAGACTTGCTTGGGCCAAGAAACACGAGCAATGTACATTAGACTGGTGGAAATCTGTCCTTTGGTCTGATGAGTCCAAATTTGAGATTTTTGGTTCCAACCGCTGTGTGTCTTTGTGAGACGCAGAGTAGGTGAACGGATTAACTCCGCATGTGTGGTTTCCACCGTGAAGCATGGAGCAGGAGGTGTGATGGTGCTTTGCTGGTGACACTGTAGGTGATTTATTTAGAATTCAAGGCACACTTAACCAACATGGCTACCACAGCAATCTGCAGCGATACGCCATTCCATCTGGTTTGCGCTTAGTGGGACAACAATTTATTTTTCAACAGGACAATGACCCAACACACCTCCAGGCTGTGTAAGGGCTATTTTACCAAGGAGAGTGATGTAGTGCTGCATCAGATGACCTGGCCTCCACAATCACCCGACCTCAACCCAATTGAGATGGTTTAGGAATGAAAAGCAGCCAACAAGTGTTCAGCATATGTGGGAACTCCTTCAAGACTGTTGGAAAAGCATTCTTCATGAAGCTGGTTGAGAGAATGCCAAGAGTGTACAAAGCTGTCATCAAGGCAAAGGGTGGCTACTTTCAAGAATCTCAAATATAAAATATATTTTGATTTGTTTAACACTTTTTTGGTTACTACATGACTCCATATGTGTATTTCATAGTTGTGAAGTCTTCATTATTATTCTACAATGTAGAAAATAGTAAAAAATAAAGAAAGAAAACCCTTGATTGAGCAGGTGTATCAAAACGTTTGACTGGTACTGTATGTGTGTGACAAGAGAAGGGAAATCTCTCTACATGCCCCAATAACAATCTATTATATTAGGTTTTGGTCTTCATTTGCTTTTGAAAAGGAAATCGTTGTGGGCAAGGTGATAATGATGGACTATTGAAAAACTCCTCAGACGGCCTGACTCTAGTAATGATAGACTGAGGGAGACTGTCTCTGTGACTCTGCCCGTCTCTGACCGCTTCTCTCCATTAAGGCTCTTTCCTCATTTATAGCCGAAGTTATTCAATTATATGAGTGGCGGCCGGCTGGACAGGGAGAGGGGGAGAGACAGAGAGAAACATGCGGTAGAGAGAGAGAGAGGACTGGAGATTAAGGAAATTATAATTAGAGAGTTTTAATACGGGGACTTCATTAGTGAACGGTGTGGAGAGAGACTGAGGCAGAGACGGCTCACCGCTGGCCTAACGGCGTGTATTTGTACGGTCGGCAGCCGGGGGCCGTGGCAGAGAAGATGACAGCAGGGTGAAGCTGCAGCCTGGGAGGCCTCCCTCCCCAACACGCTCACATGACCTTTCAGAAGATTCACTCTGTTCTCTCAGGGTGCCACAGGCTGGTATGTGTGTCTACCACAAACTCTTTCATTACCATATGCTGCATGCCTGCCGTCGCTCTCTTTTACACTCGTTCACCACCTTCTGCTTCTAACTCCTCTCTTTTTCTTTCTTTCCTCTCTCTCCCTCCATCTCTCTATTCCTCCATCTCAATGGCCCTCTATAGAGATACTGAGGTTAGAACAACCCTAAACATTATTTTCTAAGGCAAGGAAACAGGAAGGGACAGCTTATCGTATGCAGCCGTGTCCGTGTCCTCTCTCTCCCGCTCTCCCCCACTCCCTCCCCTCTCTGTGGCATTCCCATCAATGCAATTAAAGCCAACTCTGCCCTCTCTGCCCGCATCATTATGGCGGCGGAATGTTCCGGTGCTCTCTCTCTTATTGCATTTCCACGTCTGTGGCCTGTCGTTAATGATGTCCCCGTCTGCCCATAAATTATCGTCTGCAGCTCTCAGGTTTGCAGGGAGTGTGTGTATGTACGTGTGAGTGTGTGTGACCGCAGCGAGAGAGCAAGGAGACAGACGGAAGGTCGGACATCCCTAACAATATGAAAGGCGACTAACCTCACTCACATGACAAAGACCTGAGCAGAAACAAACTAATGGTGGGGATTCATAACGAGATCTCTCATGTTTACCTATAAAGCCTTCTATCCCTCATCAGCATCTATTCCCTTCAAAGTTCACTACTTTTGACCAGGGCTCTGATCAAAAGTAGTGCACTATAAAGGGAATAGGGTGCCATTCCAGATGGGCCCCTAATCTCCTTAAAGTATCTGACAGGAATCCTGTCACAGGATACAGATAACAGACAACAAAGAAAAACTAGTCGAAGAGTTTCACTTTTGATTGGCGCTTTGTTTTTGTTATTGTTGCTTTCTCTACACCTCAGAGACGATAGCAGAGGTTAATTTAATATACAGTATGCTTTTGGTAATTATGCACAGGCACAGTACAGTATTCCCTCTACTCCTCTGTGTGTGCGTCATTACTATTCACGAGACAGACAGTGCCGTTCCTACGGCGACAGTGCCCGGCGGGACCTTAGGACCTGTGAGAAAATGTCACGCCACTCTTTCCCTCCCACTCGCTCTCCAACATACCCCCCTCTCTCTCCCTCTCAACAAACACAGAAGAGTGCCGTCCTGTGAGAGATGCTTTGAATAAGCAGTGTGGGGAACGGCGGAGGAGGGAGAGAAAGGAGTGTGTCTTGAGGGAGGACGCGGGGAGGATGAGAGGCAGGGGGGAGTATAGTATAGGTCCTGTGTGGTAGGGGTCTTACGGGGGGTCTCTGGCGTAGGTGGTGGGAAGAGGGAGGAGTACAGATCCTGGGTGGTAAAGAGGTGACGGGGTTGGGGTTTGAGGGTTACAGGGAGGATCTTACTGGGGGTCCCCGGCGTAGCTGAGCTGGGCGGGCCGGATCCCGAAGTGGACGATGATGGGGAAGGTAATGACCTCTGGATTGAACTGCTCTCTGTCCAGCTGGTCAATACGCACAGAGCTAGGCTTCTGAAACAACAACAACAACAAAGACTATGAGACCAGGGAACATATGGATCAAGTGTCTCAGATCTAGGATCTGTCCATAGAAATCTTATTCATTATGGTCTAAAAAGCTAAACTGATCCTACATCAGCACTCCTACTCGGAGACGCTTGACACATACAGCCTCAGATCCTATCAGACTTTGGTAAGTACAGTGTTATTATGTTACAAAAATAGCATCTGAATTCATGGAATACATGCAACCCCTGCCAATCTAGCACTCTGTCAATCACAGGCACACACCCTATGGGCCTTGGTGCACTATATGGAATAAGGTACCATTTTGAATACAGTCCATGACAGTGCTCTTGTCCTCTCTCACCATGCCAGGGTTGGTGACGATCATGCCCTTGCACTCCTCTGCGTACTTCTGCCACTTCAGTTCCTCCCACTGCAGCATGTCAGCTATCTCCTCCTCAGGGACCAGAGGCTTGGAGCTCCGCAGGAGGTAGAGGAGCACCTGGTGCATGGACAGCACCTCCTTACCACCATCTGACAGAGAGGGACAAACACAGAGATCGTGAGATACACAGACAGAAACAGACAAACACACATTCAGAAACCCATACACACAGAGAAACAAGACCGACAGACAGAGACCGACAAAGAAACAGACACACAGAGAACACACTCAGGTTTAGACACTCATGCAAAATTGACTGACCTCCAATTACAAAATGTTCACGTGGACAGAGTGCATTTCTAAAATTGGATTTTCCATCTAAGAGGACAACTCATATGCGCACACACACTCATGAACACAAAGCACATACAACAAACAAACAGCATGCAGTACCAACATTCTCCAGCAGAGAGACAGTTTTCTGAAGAGGGGACAGTCTCACCAGGTAAGAAGCGAACAAATCGAGGCATGAAGTGGAACTTCTGACATCCAGGAGATTGGTTGTCCCACTCGGGAGCTGTGTGGGGAAACAACAAAGATACTGAAAATACACCTTTAGTCTCAAAATCAAATTTGATTGGTCGTGTACACATATTTTGAAGATGTTATCGCAGGTGCAGCAAAATGATTATGTTTCTAGCTCCAACAGTACAGTATTCCTAACAATACACACAATTCCCAAAAAAATGTATAAAGAAATATCAGAATGAGCAATGTCAGAGTCCGGAATATATATACACAAAAGTATGTGGACACCCCCCTTTGGCTAATTCAGCCACAACCTTTGCTGACAGGTGTAAAAAAATCGAGCAAACAGCCATGCAATCTCCATAGACAAATATTTATGTCCTGCTAGAGCTGCCCCGGCCACCTGTAAGTGCTGTTAATGTGAAGAGGAAATGTCTAGGAGCAACAACAGCTCAGCCTTGAATTGGTAGGCCACACAAGCTCACAGAACGGGTTCGCCGAGTGCTGAAGTGTGTAGCGAGTAAAAATCTTCTGTCCTCGGTTGCAAGACACTACCTAGTTCCAAACTGCCTCTGGAAGTAACATCAGCACAATAACTGCTTGTTGGGAGTGTCATACAATGGGTTTCCATGGCCATGCAGTTGCACATAAGACTAAGATCACCATACGCAATGCCAAGTGTCGGCTGGAGTGGTGTAAAGCTAGCCACCATTGGACTCTGGAGCAGCGAAAACACGTTCTCTGGAGTGATAAATCACGACTCAACATTTGGCAGTCTGACAAACTAATCTGGGTTTGGTGGATGGCAGGATAATGCTACCTGCCCGAATGCATAGTGCCAACTGTCACGTTAAGTGGAGGAGGAATAATGGTCTGTGGCTGTTTTTCATGGTTCTGGCTAGGCCCCTTAGTTCCAGTGAAGGGAAATCTTAACGCTACAGCATACGCTGACATTCTAGACGATTCTGTGTTTCCAACTTTGTGGCAACAGTTTGGAGAAGGCCCTTTCCTGTTTCAGCATGATATGTATGTATACACACATTATGTATATACAGTACCAGTCAAAGGTTTGGACACTCCTACTCATTCAAGGGTTTTCCTTCACTATTATTCTACAATGTAGAAAATAGTAAAGACATTAAAACTATAACACATACGGAATCATGAAGTAACCAAAAAAAGTGTTAAAAGAAAATCAAAATATATTTTAGATTTTAGATTCTTCAAATAGCCACCCTTTGCCTTGATGACAGCATTGCACACTCTTGGCATTCTCTCAACCAGCTTCACCTGGAATGCATTTCCAACAGTCTTGAAGGAGTTCCCACATATGCTGAGCATTTGTTGGCTGCATTTCCTTCACTCTGCAATCCGACTCATCCCAAACCATCTAAATTGGGTTGAGGTCGGGGGATTGAGGAGGCCAGGTCATCTGATGCAGCACCCAATCTCTCTCCTTCTTGGTAAAACACCCTTACACAGCCTGGAGGTGTGTTAGGTCATTGTCCTGTTGAAAAACAAATGATAGTCCCACTAAGCTCAAACCAGATGGATTGGCGTATCGCTGCAGAATCCTGTGGTGTGCCTTGAATTCTAAATAAATCACAGGAAGTGTCACCAGCAAAGCACCCCCACACCATAACACCACCTCCTCCTCCATGCTTTACGGTGTGAACTAAACATTAAGAGATGATCCGTTCACCCACACCGCGTCTCACAAAAACCCTGCGGTTGGAACCAAAAATCTCCAATAGGGAATATGAAATCTCGAATTTGGACTCCAGACCAAAGGACAAATTTCCACCGGTCTAATGTCCATTGCTCGTGTTTCTTGGCCCAAGCAGGTCTCTTCTTATTGGTGTCCTTTAGTATTGGTTTCTTTGCAGCAATTCGACCATTAAGGCTTGATTGAAGCAGTCTCCTCTGAACAGTTGATGTTGAGATGTGTCTGTGAATTGAACTCTGAAGCATTTATTTGGGCTACAATTTCTGAGGCTGGAAACTCTAATTAACTTATCCTCTGCAGCAGAGGTAACTCTGGGTCTTCCTTTCCTGTGGTGGTCCTCATGAGAGCCAGTTTTATCATAGCGCTAGATGGTTTTTGAGACTGCACTTGAAGGAACTTTCAAGGTTCTTGAAATGCTCCATATTGACTGACCTTCATGTCTTAAAGTAATGATGGACTGTTGTTTGTCTTTGCTTATTTGAGCTGGTCTTGCCATAATATGGACATAGTCTTTTACCAAATAGGGCTATCTTCTGTATACCCCCCTACCTTGTCTCAACACAACAGATTGGCTCAAACGCATTAAGAAGGAAAGAAATTCCACAAATTAAGGCACAACTGTTAATTGAAATGCATTCCAGGTGACTACTTCATGAATCTGGCTGAGAGAATGCCAAGAGTCTGCAAAGCTGTCATCAAGGCAAAGGGAGGCTATTTGAAGAATCTCAAATATAAAATATGTTTAACACTTTTTTGGTTATTACATGATTCCATGTGTGTCATTTCATAGTTGTGATGTCTTCACTATTACTTTACAATGTAAAAAGGAGTACAAATAAAGAAAAACCCTTGAATGAGTAGGTGTGTCCAAACTTTTGACTGGTACTGTGTTTGTGTATATATATATATATATATATATATATATATATATATATATATATATATATATATATATATATACACACACACACACACATACAGTAGAGGGAGCTGAAGGTTCGAGTTGCCAAACGTCAGCCTCGAAACCTTAATGACTTGGAGAAGATCTGCAAAGAGGAGTGGAACAAAATCCCTCCTGAGATGTGTGCAAACCTGGTGGCCGCCTACTAGAAACGTCTGACCTCTGATTGCCAACAAGGGTTTTGCCACCAAGTACTAAGTCATGTTTTGCAGAGGGGTCATACTTATTTCCCTCATTAAAATGCAAATCAATTCATAACATTTTTGACATGCGTATTTCTGGATTGTTTTGTTGTTATTTTGTCTCTCACTATTCAAATAAACCTACCATCATAATTATAGACTGATCATTTCTTTGTCAGTGGGCAAACGTACAAAATCAGCAGGGGATCAAATACTTGTTTCCCTGTTCTGAAAGGCCCCAGAGTCTGCAACACCACTAAGCAAGGGGCACCACGAAGACCAAGGAACTCTCCAAACAGGTCAGGGACAAAGTTGTGGAGAAGTACAGATCAGAGTTGGGTTATAAAAAAAATATCCAAAACTTTGAACATCCCATGGAGCACCATTAAATCCATTTTAAAAAATGGAAAGAATATGACACCACAACAAACCTGCCAAGAGTGGGCCGCCCACCAAAACTCACAGACCAGGCAAGGAGGGCATTAATCAGAGAGGCAATAAAGATACCAAATATAACCCTGAAGGAGCTGCAAAGCTCCACAGTGGAGATTGGAGTATCTGTCCATAGGACCACTTTAAGCCGTACACTCCACATAGCTGGGCTTTACGGAAGAGTGGCCAGAAAAAAAGCCATTGCTTAAAGAAAAAAATAAGCTAACACGTTTGGTGTACGCCAAAAGCCATGTGGGAGACTCCCCAAACATATGGAAGAAGGTACTCTGGTCAGATGAGACTGAAATTGAGCTTTTTGGCCATCAAGGAAAACACAATGTCTGGCACAAACCCAACACCTCTCATCACCCCGAGAACACCATCCCCACAGTGAAGCATGGTGGTGGCAGCATCAGGCTGTGTGGATGTTTTTCCTTCGGCAGGGACTGGGAAACTGGTCAGAATTGAAGGAATGATGGATGGAAATTCTTGAGGGAAACCTGTTTCAGTCTTCCAGAGATTTGAGACTGGGACGTTCACCTTCCAGCAGGACAATGACCCTAAGCATACTGCTAATGCAACTCTCGAGTGGTTTAAGGGGAAACATAAATGTCTTGGAATGGCCTAAAGATTGCTGTACACCTGTGGAACCCATCCAACTTGAAGGAGCTGGAGCAGTTTTGCCTTGAAGAACAGGCAAAGATCCCAGTGGCTAGATGTGCCAAGCTTAAAGTGACCAGTGTTCAATGACTATATGTACATAGGGCAGCTGTCTCTAAGGTGAAGGGTAGCGTACCAGGTGGTAGCCGGCTAATAACAGTGACTACGTTCAGGCCAGGGTACTGGGCGGAGGCTGGCTTGTGGTGACTATTTAACAGTCTGATGGCCTGGAGATAGAAGCTGTTTTTCAGTCTCTTAGTCCCAGCTTTGATGCACTTGTACTTGTACTTGTGGGTTGTATGGTGTATTGTTCACCTGTGAGGTTCCAGTCATAGAGCTCCAGTATATCCTGGAATAGGTAGGAAGAGAACAGCTCCAGTCCTTTCACACAGTAGTTCTGAACAAGGACATAGGGAAACAAAGGGTTAACACACTCTCTCTCTCTCTCTCTCTCTCTCTCTCTCTCTCACACACAAGCATCTTAATGCTGAAATATGTAACCTGATAGTCAAATCCAGTTCCCTAAACTTTGGCTTACAACACTTCCTTATCAGCCCATTCAGCTGGTGTAGGTTAAAAACAACCTCTACTTCTTTACAGCCTTGGGTGTTTTCACAGAGAGAGAGAGATGACCGTTTGGAGAACAAAAGACTGGGGGGGGGAGATAACCTGAAGAACAACAACCTTTTAACTCCAATTACAGAGGAGAGAGCGAGACAGAGACCCCAAATAATTAGAAAACAAATCCAATTTTGATAAATTCCCATATCTATAGGGTGAAATAACAAAGTGTGCCATCACAGCAGCAAGATTTGTGACCTGTTGCAACAAGAAAAGGGCAAACAACGAAGAACAAACACCATATTTATATGTATTTATTTTCCCTTTTGTACTTTAACTATTTGCACATCGTTACAAAACTGCATATAGCCATATGACATTTGAAATGTCTCTATTCCTTTGGAACTTTTGTGTGTAACGTTAACTGTGAATTTTTGTATTGTTTATTTCACTTATGTTTATTATCTATTTCACTTGCTTTGGCAATGCCAATAAAGCCCTTTGAATTGAGATAGAGAGAGGAGAGAGAAAGTGGGGCTTTACTGACCTCTGGTGTCATCTCTTCAATAAAGTGAATGGTGTAATCTATGTTGAAACGAATCACTCTGCACAATGGAATCTGGGATGATGAAAGAGAAGGTGGGGGGGTGGGGGGGCGCGAGGGAAGAAGAGAGTAGAGGAACACTCATTACCATGGTGTTAGACAGAGGTTACAGCTTTTCAAGGAAACTCATTAAAACCTCATCTCCATAAGCAGTGGCTGCAGCCCAAAAAACCACACGCACACATAAATGTGCACACACCGGACACCAAACACAAACACACTGCAAAAAACACAACCCACAAATACCGAACACACACAACCCACACCAAAAACACACAAGCGGTCTCTCTTTACCCAGGGCTTTTCAACATTAAGTGACTCCAATCTCTAAGGAGATAAGCCTGCTCTTCCGTGTTTAACCTCCCAGTTACATGCTCTTTGTGTCGGAACGAGAGTCCATTTTGGATGATTAACCTGGCCCACCGTACATCATGCAGTGGTGCCCACCCCTCTAGCTAACTAGCAGGGGCTAATCTCGCTGCGTTCTGGAGTCTCTAATCCCCGCACCCTCTGTAATGCAAGGTTTTTCAAGGGGTTGTTTAAATTATCCCGCGGTAATCTGGGTTTAATTCTCGCCAAATCGTTTTCAAATTGGAATAACTGACCAAATATGTGCATTTCGCTTCATTTTACAAACACACAACTCTCCTTCTCTGCCTTATTCAGCTAGGCTTTGCATGCCATCGATTTTGGGACAAAAATGTATATGAGAGGACCTAAAACAGTTGGACTGGGCTTGCCTTTCAAGCCTCCCCTGAAACTCTCTGACGCCGCCCTGGGGTGGCACGCCTCAATTTTGAAAACCTCTGCTAAAGAGGGATCCTCTGTCGATACGTATGAGGCCTTTCAAGTCCCAACCTCTAATATTTGACATTTACTGACGGGCCTTTAAAAGTAGAGAGGGAGGGAGAGGACTTAAATCACTAGGTCGCCATCAGCAGTGTGGCTGGAAGGGAACGTAGTGTGTGTGTCCCAGATGGCACCCTATCCCCTATATAGTGGACTCCTTTTGACCAGGGCCCATAGGGTACCATTTGGGACACACCTAACTTTTTCTGAGGTTGACTCTGGAACAAAGGAAAGGACCGACGCAAAGGGCGGATTTTAAGTTATTGTTTTTTTAAAGCCAAACACTGGTCGATGGCTCTGAATTATTAATGGGTGCTTTGCTTTATAAACCTGACTGTAGGGACGGAGCACACGCACGCAGCTGACGTGGCACAGGTTGTCCCATTGGAGGACACGAGGGAGGATGGAGAGGGAACAGTAGAGCTATGTGCTGAGCTATGCATATACTTTCAAACAACAGGCATAGAGAGAGAGAGAGATCAGAGGGAGTGGAGGGTATAACGACAGGATGGATCCATTGCAAATTGCTTACGTTAGTGAGAGGCATGTGGGAGAAGAGGGAGAAGCCTTCGAACAGGTACTCATGGTCATCGTACTCAATCACCGTAGGCCTGTCCGTCTGCGAACAACACACACATACATACCGGAAATGTCAGAATGAAGTCTGATGTAAAGTTAAGAGAATTCCTATGGCCATGGTTTTAGGTCCATCTAGGGCCTAACATCTTGTCCTGACCATGTCACCTTACCAGGACAAACTACAAACTCAAGGTAAGGTCATGTGTTCAGGAAAGAAAACTCATCAGAACTGTGAGAGGGATCAAGAGGGAGAGAGAGACAGATGTATTCATACCAGGAAGTTAGTAGGTGGAGACACAGTGATTCTATAGTGGTAGAGCTTCCCAGAGTTGTTGTTCATCGGACGACATTCCTTCACCGACTGGAGAGAGATAGTACAAAGACTATGTTCAATAGTCTGTAGCATAACCATACAATAGTATTTTAATGTGAATCAATGCAAGACATTTCAGAAGAGAGGGGAGAGTAGAGTAGGTTGTGTGTGTGTGTACCTCCTCTCCAGGGTAGATGCTGTGGCGTATCCCTGTGCGTCTGGACTTGGCACTGCACTTACACAACGGCCCATCGTTCATCTGCACACACACACACACACAGAGGACAGCCATAACCACTATGAACACTACGCCAAACTGTAACAGTAAAAAAAATTCTAAAATATATTTGTAAAAAGTGCTGAAGGGAGTTGTGGCATGTGTGTGGTACGCATAAACACAAGAGGTGACATTTTGACAGCACGTAAAAGATGGTGTCACCAAAACAGAATGAATCACTTAAAATGCACATATTATAAAAAACAAGTTTGCAATAAACAGTTAAAGGATTAAATGACGTGCATTCGGACACTGTGTTTCCAACATCACATAATTTTAATCATAGTTACCCTGTCATGGGCATTGTTTAAAAAGGTTTCAAATAAAATGCCATTACAAGTATTTTGGAGGAATATTGTCTCTTTCAACACTAGTTCTGTGTTAGACTTGGATTCTTCATCTGGGTGTAAAGGCTTTCATTACAGCCTTGCATTTAAACCAGGTGTGGTACTGCAGAGCTGGAATGAAACCCTGCACAACCCTAGCTCTTCAGGACCAGAGTTGGAGAAACAGGCTGTGCTAGACCATGTTAGAGCAGGGCCTGTACTCATAAAGCTCAGAGTAGGAGTGGTGATCTACAATCTGTTCCCTCTATGTAAACCTATTCATTATGATCTGAAAGGCATCCTGAACTATGAAACTTGATTTTCTGAAGGACCATTTTCTGATCGGTTTCGGGTTTTTTTTACAACAAGGGTCAATGTACCACAGCTCCTCAATCAATCAAATAAATCAATAAATCAATTAATCAAGAGGAGGAGGTTCTGACCTGTCCTGGGTCGTTGTACCACAGCTCGTCATGCAGACGGTGTGGATGGGCCTTCTTCCTCTTGATCTCAGCGATCACGTCAAACAGGTCAGAGTCAGAGCTGCTGGAGCAGGTACTGCCTCCCCCGTCAGACTCACAGTCTGACTCACTGCTGCTGTGGCTGTGGCTCTCCTCTGGAACAGACACACATCAACCAGGACACTGTCAGTGGCTAGTGCAAACAGAGGGGTCTCAACACAACACTAACTTTCGGTCACCTGTCTTCTCTACTGTATGGTTTTTACACTTGTTTTTGAATACTAGTTGTTCCTGCAAAAACCAACACCTGGATATACATAGACGCACTGCTGTGCACAGGGTTTCACTTTCTTTTTTGCACTGTCGGTGGCTAGTCCACACACAGAGAGGTCTGAACTCACAGCAAAGACAGTAATTGCAACTGAAAACAGGTTGACAACACTGAACACTGTCAATCTTAGTGCACTAAATGTTGTAGCTAATCAATCTCTCTTTTTAACTCTCCTAGTTGTCTGACACGTCTGTGAAGTCATTCCTAATCACATTCATCAATCTCAGACATGGCAAGGCAAATTCTACACAGTTTATAAGGCAGGTTCGACAGTATTTCTTTACTTCAACACAAGACTGTCATTCTCACATTCCACTGTTACATAACCAGTGTTAGAGTTGAAATACCTTTGGGGATACTATCTGATATCAATACAGTACCGGGCTCCTCATCTAGCTTGGTCTTGGGAGGGTCCCATTTGGGCCGGGCTGACTGAGCACGCTCCTGTCTCTTGACCAGCTCTTCCTCGAAGCGTTCGTACAGGTCCCTCAGTTTACTGGTCCCCACCACCGTAGAATCACCCTACAGCAACAAAACAGGGTCACACAGAGTTTCAAACGGCAGTATGAGAAGTTTGAGCAATTGGTTGAAAGAGAGTATAAAGCTGTAGTGGTAAAAATCAGACAGAGAATCACTGACAGATCAGAGCTTTTGTAAACACCCTAATGATTATCAGAGATGTAACTGTTCATATGGTCTTATATCCTCAGACATTTTCCAAATACATTTCTGGTGCATACTGTATCAGGAAAATCTGAAATATGGCACGGTTTGGTTACATTTTCATACAGAATGAACCTGTTTGTGTCAAACTATCAAAGTCAGCAGAGAAAAGCCAGGATTAGCCTCCTACCACTTGATCCATCGGATCGCTGGAGTAGTAGTTCTCAGCATGGGTACAGCGGATCCACGCAGGTTTCAGCAACTCATCCTCCTCTCTCTCTTCTCCCTCCCCTTTCTCCCTCTCTCCTCTCTCCCTCTCCCTCTCCCTGTCCATCTCTCTCTCCCGGTCTCTGTCCCTGTCTATGGAGACTTCAGTCTCTGTGTCTCGGCTCCTAACGGAGGTATAGCTGCGCTCTCTGTCTCTGCTCATCCCCGGAATGTCGGACCTCCGGTCCCTCTCCTCCTCCCAGCGACCACGCTTCCTCTCTCTGCTGGCTGATCGACTGCAGGGAGAGAGGAAATGGTCACATTGGGAAACAAAGCAAGAGAGAGAGTAGAGAGAGAGAGAGACAGACATCCATCTCGGCTCCAACTGTGTAAATAGTTGCATTGTGTGCACATAATTTAAATCAAAGATGTGGGTAACAAGCTATGTACTTTCAGGGTTCAGTATTATGACTAGGGGATCTATTCAATATGTATCATGAAAGTTCAGCGTTACAGCATGAGGGAAATTTAAAGGCAATGTTCCCACGTTAGCGGAGACTGCATTCAAGTTTAAAGTTGTATTTGTTGCTGCATATGTTGGCTCAATCCAAAATTATCTTAAATTGTATATTGCCAATTCGTAACGCTTCAGCGATACAGATTGAATATAGCCATAGGTCTATAACATGCACGCAGACACAGATTAGAGGAAAAAATATAAATAATTTTTTAAGAGTCAACGTGAGCATCCATTACCTTCTAGGTCTCTTCCTGTGTCTGTCAGGTGACTGAGACCTCCGACTGTCTCTGTGGCGATGCCTCTCCCTGAGAATACATACACCCGCACACACACAGACAGACACACACTTCTCTTAGAATGTACAACATACAGATACAGATCTGGTATTGAAAGCATTCCATCAAAGCAAACACAGTATTGCATAACATGAAGTCCACTGAACACGAGTGTCTGCTAAATCAGGGTTTCCCAACCCCCCCCCCCCCCCCCCCCCAACCTTTGCAGTGCTAGAGCAAAAACCAAAATGTGCACCCAGGGGGGCCCCAGGACCGAGTTTGGGAAACCCTGTGCTAAATGACCAAAATGTAAATGAGGACATTATAGGTTGGGTATGGGACCGACACGTACCTGCTGCGTTCTCTACTCCGGTGACGAGTAGGAGGAGTCCTCCCACGCTGCTCGTACTCTGACCGGTGTCTCCCTCCCTCCGGCCTGCGTCTGTCCGGACTCCTGCCTCGGTCCTTCCCTCTCTGGTTCATGGGGAAATCCATCTTGTGTCTGTCGCCCCCACCACCACTGCCACCATGACTGCCGTAAGCATAGCCACCCTTCTGCTGCCTGTGGTCGTCATGGCGACCCCCTCTGCCTCTCTCCGGCGACCTCTGACCTCTGTCGTCCATTTGCTGTTGTTTCTCAGCCTTGTACTGCTGCCCTCCTCCTCCGTGAGGACCGTGCCTGAAGCCCCCGTGGTCTGGCTTGAAGGAGCTGGGACCCTGGTGGGAGCCGTAGTCACCTGGGCTAAAGTTGGGCAGAGGAGGGAATGGAGGATGGGAGTAGTTCATGGCGTAGGGGGGTTGATGGTAGCTCATGGACTGGGGAGGCATGGTAGGAGGCATGCCGGGAGGGTGAGGGAGGGGTGGAGGGGGTACGGAAGGCATCATATAGTGGTAAGAACTCTGAGCTGATGCTGGAGACCCAGATATGGAGTTGCCGGCAAGAGGAGGAGGGGGGAAGTTGGGGTGGCTCTGGGGGTTGGGGAAGGGCGGGCGTACAGGGCACTGGCTGAGGGGGCTGACCGCCATACCCCCCTGAGTGGGCACTGGAGGGGGGTAAGACATGTAGTCTGAATGTGCAGTGATGTAACCACCCCCACCACTGTTTCCTTGGCCACCGTAGCTGTGAGAGGTGCAGTGCTGGGCCTGAGGGTCGTACTGGTAGGGGAGCATTGGCGGCTGGGGAGGTGGGGGTCCTAGGTTGGTGGGCTGGTAATTTTGGTGGGAGCCGTGTTGACCCCCATGTTGACCTGGGGGTGCTCTTCCTCTGGGGCAACCTCCCCCTCCTCGACCCTGATGGAAGGACATACCTACAAGACAACAGGAACAACATGGTTAAATCATCACCAATGTGCACAGTGTCACCAGCTCTGGTCCAGAGTGTTAGTGTGCCTCAGCATTAGCAAGCCACACTAACACCCTGGATCAGAGTTGATTACACAACACAGACCATCTGAATCAACACTCAATTATCTGTGGACATAAACCACAGTGAAATATAATTTTACTAACAAGTAAATGTACAAGTAACTGTATTGGATAGACGCCATTAGCTGAAAGTATGTGGTTATTTATGTATTTCCGTAATGTCCGTAATGAATTAGCAATCAAGTCAGTCTGTACTGACACCATTGTACTGTGGCTAATGTTAGCTAAAATGTACCTAGCTTGCTACAGTAACGGTGAGTAACGTAACTAGTTTAAGAAGTTAGCTAGCATGTCCTTTCGGCTAGAGTTTAAAAACAAACGATGGCAAGCTAACAGCTAGTTATACAAATATGCAAACAGGATAGCTAGCTATTTAAGTTTACAGTGCACACAAATTGCAATTCATAATGACAATAGCTAAATGGGAGGCTAGTTGTATTTATTAAACATAAGCTAGTAAGCTAGCTAACGTTTGCTAATTAGCTAGCTGAATCCAATGACAGCATTCAAGACAAGCTAGCTACGTTAGCTACAATTACCTTCAGATTTGGTAGCTTGCTAGCTACACGGAGCCTGATTTCAAACAGAAGCGCATCAATTACTGAATGGCATGGAGTGCTCTTGAACCGTATAACCTGTAGCTAGTCCAGGGAGACAAAAAAATGCATGCACTTGTTGCAAATATCTTGTTGGTTTTGCTGTGCTGTGCGTGCGAGCATCTGTGTTTCCAGTCGGAATGCTAAAGAAGACGGACACGCATGACCCAAGACACACGGTCATGGCTAGAAAGGATACAGCTTTTGTCAAATGAACGTCAATGTTGAAAAATTTAGCATTTTACCTAAACCTTTTCCTAACCTTAACCTAATTATCCTAACCTGCTACGTTAATTTTCCTAACCTGCTGCGTAAATTGTCCAAACATGCTACGAAAAGACAAATCTGACGTTAATTTTGCAAAAGTTGGATACTATCTAGCCATGACCAAGGACACGCCTGGTGCCTAAATAGGCTCTATGCACGCATCACTCCGCATTGGCGTAAGGATGCTTGGGATTTCTGGTTATCGGGAAAAAACATTACACAGTGACAGTAGACGGTTATGATGGCAGAGATGAAGTTTACAAGGTGTTTGCTGGAGTTGCCTAAAGTATCTGTTAATGATATACGGAGGGTCGTCCGGACATCCAGTACGACACCACGTAGCAAACTGGATAAAGGCTTCAAATTTTACATTTCTTATTTTCTTTGCAACTTTGAAGGTAATATGCTAACGCTAGCTAGCCTGAGCTAGAAGCATTGCTTTGGTGTTTTAAGTCATGACTCCGTCCTGCTTCAGGTTAATCATGCTTTAAATAAAGTTTAATCATGTGTATATACCTCTCACTTCATGTGTTTGTACTTTTTATGAAAGTATCAGGTAAAAACAGGGCTACAAATGAGATCTCTGTGAGAGCCCACTGCTACCGCTCAATGAAGAAACTAAAGCCACCACACCAGCTGAGAGTAGGACTAGATTAAGTGACACGTTCAAAGTTCTGTTGAACTTGTTCAAGGTTCCGTTCAACACATGTTTTACTCGTTTAATGTTACAACAGCTTTGATTGCCATTGCTAAGAGAACACTTTAGTGGTTTTCACAATAGCTGAACAGTGGTAGCCTAATACAGACCAGGGTAGCTGAGTGGGAATTGCCATGCTTTGTTGTTGGGTCTGTTGTAAACAAATTGGAGGTTGGTTTGAAATGTAAACAATAATGAGATTACTACTTTTTCCTGACTGGATGACTGCAATGACAGTAACATATTCCACTCAGCTATTCTTCAAACTGCTGATGTTCCACTCAAAACTGTCCTGTCATCTTTACTTCTTTCTTTATAAACATATGGCCCAACTTCCTTGCTTTTGTACTTTGTTTCTACTTTTCAAGAGGAATTAGGAGCAAAACCTTCACTCTACTGCTCTGCCAATACTGTTTGAAGGTAGGTAAATGGCACAAGACAACAGGTAAGTGGTGGGAGACAGTATAGCCAAGTGGTGCAAGACAGTAGGGAAGTGATGCAGAAAGCACAAAAGTGACACAAGACAATAGATAAGTTGTTTACACCAGTAAAAATTAGAAAGAACAAGTTTTGCTCCTGCTGCTGTAGACCCTCGTCTTTCAAAACCCATTAAATTATGCTTCTGTGTATTTCAGATGACATTGCGTGATTCACAGCCAGTTGTGCTTGTTAAAAGCTACTGTTCCTGTGTGGCTGGGTGTGGGATAGGCAATCATTTGGTTGCATTACTATATCAGACTGCCCATTACTCTGAATGTGGCATGTCTGTCGTCCCTCCTGTACTTTCGTGCACTGGAACAGCTCCCTTCTTCAGACGTCTGCGCCCAGCTGGAGTCGGAGGCTCTATCACATCTTCACTTAGAAAGTGTCGGCTGCAGACTCGTGTGTTTGTTGTAAGAAAGTTGACTCGTTGAATGTTAATCACCCACCGTTTATGTAATTCACTGTCTCCTGAGTGGCGCAGTGGTCTAAGGCACTGCATCGCAGTGCTAACTGTGCCACTAGAGATCCTGGTTCGAATCCAGGCTCTGTCGCAGCCGGCCGCGACCGGGAGACTCATGGGCGACGCACAATTGGCCCAGCGTTGTCCAGGGTAGGGGAGGGAATGGCCGGCAGGGATGTAGCTCAGTTGATAGAGCATGGTGTTTGCAATGCCAGGGTTGTGGGTTCGATTCCCACGGGGGGCCAGTATAAAAAAATATGTATTCACTAACTGTAAGTCGCTCTGGATAAGAGCGTCTGCTAAATGACTAAAATGTAAATGTTTGGGAAAAGTAGAAAAACGAACAGAAGAATTGCATCTGGCAGACACTGTACATTGCGGCACACAGCAGTGATGGCTGGAAGAGCTGTCATCCCGATTTTGAAAGGACACTTTCGTACGTTTACACGTCATCGTGTTATAAGTCAAGACAAAGTATTACAAGTAAAAACATTAACATAAACATTAAGATAAACAACAACAACGACGAAAATTAACCATTTCGGATGTTTTTGACGACAAGCATTCAATGCTAGCATACGGTAGCACAGCATTCTACGATAACCGGAAGTTTACATCCATCCTGAGATTTAACCGGAAATACGTCATGCTCGCCTGTGCATATCGCCTATTGATGACATAATGGCGCGGAGCTGAAAGTCGAGTGTGGAGACGTAAGCAGTCGGTTCAGTCAGTGGTCCTGATGAGCCTTTAGTTCCCAGATAGCTAGATTATGCTGGCTAACTGGCAACAGTCAACAGCAGCATGGGCGGAAAGGATGTTCTGTTTGAAACTGAGTGGGCAAAAGGGGGCTTAGTCCCCTCAATTGAAACTTGTGCCACCTCAGTTTTAGTTGTATGTCCCTATATAAAAATAGAAAAAAAAGTTACAAGGATTGAGTGACTGTTTGGCACAAAATCTGTATCTCCACTGCCCTATATCAGCACCATGGACAGAGTGTGCTGCAGGGTTTGTGTGTTGGGGGGCTATGGAAAGCAACTGGGCGGTTAGGTATGACTCCTTTGGGTTTCCATAAAAAGCGGGGAAAACGCTGCACATCTGTGGTAGGCTACGTGAATAACTAGTTAACCCTCCGCCTGTAATATTTTATTTTGATTTATAAGGATGGGGTCAAGTTTACAGTTGAAGCTGCTTTACTCAACTCTGCCTCATGCCCCATCACTACAGAGTTTAGTTAGCTTCTTAGCTAGCCGTAAAAGGCGTTAGTGTTATTAGCCTATTTAGCGCTAACCAGCTAATCTGCCATATGAGAAATGAAACCACTGAGGCCGCCACCAAGCCCAGCTGCGTTGATGGCTCCACAGTCCCCTCCACTCCATCCCTGACTGTTCCTGACGATCTTGGAACAGAGGAGCCAGCGCAGGTTAGCCTAGAACCTACCCTAGCCGCAGGTTTAAGCTACAGGACTGTTTTGCTAGTACAGACTGGAATATGTTCTGGGATTCATCCGATGGCATTGAGGAGTTTACTACATCAGTCACCAGCTTCATTGATAGGTGCATCGATGATGTTGTCGCTACAGTGACCGTATGTACATATCCCAACCAGAAGCCATAGATTACAGGCAACATCCGCACTGAGCTAAAGGCTAGAGCTGCCGCTTTCAAGGAGCGGGACACTTTTATTTTTATTTTTATTTCACCTTTATTTAACCAGATAAGCCAGTTGAGAACAAGTTCTCATTTACAACTGCGACCTGGCCAAGATAAAGCAAAGCAGTGCGATAAAAACAACAACACAGAGTTACATATGGGGTAAACAAAACATAAAGTCAAAATACAACAGAAAATATATATACAGTGTGTGTGAATGTAGGAAATTATGGAGGTAAGGCAATAAATAGGCCATAGTGCAAAATTGTTACAATTTCGTATTAACACTGGAATGATAGATATGCAAAAGATGATGTGCAAATAGAGATACTGGGGTGCAAATGAGCAAAATAAATAACAATATGGGGATGAGGTAGTTGGATGGGCTAATTACAGATGGGCTGTGTACAGGTGCAGTGATCGGTAAGCTGTTCTGACAACTGACGCCTAAAGTTAGTGAGGGAGATAAGAGTCTCCAGCTTCAGAGATTTTTGCAGTTCGTTCCAGTCATTGGCAGCAGAGAACTGGAAGGAATGGCGGTAAAGGAGGTGTTGGCTTTGGGGATGACCAGTGAGATATACCTGCTGGAGCGCACACTATGGGTGGGTGTTGCTATGGTGACCAGTAAGCTAAGATAAGACAGGGATTTGCCTAGCAGTGATTTATAGATGACCTGGAGCCAGTGGGTTTGGCGACGAATATGTAGTGAGGGCCAGCCAACAAGAGC